TTTTTGATGGGGCTTAAAACAGAGGGTCCACGCCCTTTTTTTTTTTTTTTTTTTACAGGGTGTGTGGTTTTTTTTGTTTTTTTCGCCCCCTTTTTTTTTTTCTTTTCCCCCCCCCTTTTTTTTTTCCCCCCCCCCCCCCCCCCCCCCCATTGTTTCTCTCGCATTCAATCATTCTGCGGAAGGAGCAGTCCATTCTCTCTCTTTACTCTTTGTTTACATCGTTTACATCGCCGCTGGTTGGCGATATTTTCTATTTCTCCCCAACTTCAGTACTGGTGACTGAACTATCTTTCATTTTCAGGATCTTATCCGATTCCAGACATACATCGCTGCTGGATCAGCGTTTATCATCATGGCTGCTTTCCAGACCTCCATCACGATGTTTGTCGCCCATATCTTTTTGCTATTGGGTCTGCCGGCTGCCCTCGTCGGGGCTGTCCCAGTGACTGTGCCCGTGACTCCTGTCAACAACGTCTTGCAAACTTCTCAAAAAACCTCCGCCGCCTCCACCTACTGGGTGGCCAATGTCGAGCGTCAGGGTGTTGTGCCTTTCGCCAAGAACAGCGACTATAAGATTTTCCGCAATGTTAAGGATTACGGTGCCACTGGTACGTGAAAGACACGAATTGTGTCGAGGCTTGTACTAATGATATACAGGTGACGGCTCTACTGATGACACTGCCGCTATCAACAAGGCCATCTCCTCCGGTGGCCGTTGCGGCAAGGGCTGTGATTCATCTACTACTACACCCGCTATTGTCTACTTCCCACCTGGTACCTATGTGGTGTCTAAGCCTATCCAGCAATATTACTATACTCAGATTGTCGGTGACGCCGCTGTGCTCCCTATCATCAAGGCCTCCGCCAAGTTCGCTGGTATGGCCGTGATCGATTCTGACCCCTATGAGGATGATGGTTCCAACTGGTTCACCAACCAAAACAACTTCTTCCGCGCCATCCGAAACTTGGTCATTGATCTTACTAGCGTTCCTCAGGGCGCTGGTGCTGGTATTCACTGGCAGGTCGGCCAGGCCACCTCCCTCCAGAACATCCGCTTCGAGATGGTCAAGGGTGGCGGTGATGCCAACAAGCAGCAGGGTATCTTCATGGACAACGGTTCTGGTGGTTTCATGTCCGATTTGACATTCAACGGTGGTAACTACGGCATGTTCCTTGGTAACCAGCAGTTCACCACCCGTAACTTGACTTTCAACGGCTGCCAGACTGGTATCTTCATGAACTGGAACTGGGCTTGGACTTTCAAGTCGGTTAACATCAACAACTGCGAGGTTGGCCTGAACATGTCTACTTCTCCTTCCAACCAAACTGTCGGCTCTGTTCTCATGCTGGACAGCAAGCTTACCAACACCCCCATTGGTATCGTCACTGCCTGGACTCAGAAGAGTATCCCCGTTGGTGGTGGAGACCTCATTTTGGACAATGTTGACTTCTCCGGCTCTAAGACCGCTGTTGCCGGTGTTGATGGCCACAGCATCCTTGCCGGTGGCGCTGTCGTTGAGAGCTGGATCCAGGGTAACACTTACACTCCCTCCAAGACCCTTAACAAGCGTGCCACTGAGGCCGAGCCCGAGTTGATCACTGTCGTTGAGACTGTCATGGAGACTGTCCTCGCCTGCCCTGCTTCCCATGGTGTTGCCAGCGCTACCGTGTTGGCCAGCAACAGCCCTGCGCCCGCTCGCGCCATGTCCAGTGACAGCGCTGCTGCACCCTCCCCCATGCCAGTTGTCAGCGGCAGCCGTGTCGTTGCACTTCCCTCCTCTAGTGGCTCATCTGATCGTACTGCTGGACTCCCTGACATCCCTGGCTTGAACGGTGTCTTGTCTCTTCTTGGAGGAGGATCTTCCGAGTCCACCGAGGCCGCCCAGCCCACCTCTGCCCTTGCTCCTTCCAGCGCTCCTTCCAGCGAGGTTCCTGTCACTTCCGCCGCTGTCCCTGCTCAGTCCACTGGATCTAGCACTACCAACGGCGCACAGACCGGCAGTGACAGCACCGGCGGTGGCTCGTGTGGTCCCCACCACCCTGTTGTCTCCGCACGTTCCCAGTCAGACCGCAACGCCTCGAAGAAGCCCGCTAGCCTCCTCGCCAAGGGTGCGGTCTTCGAACGCTCCAAGCCTTTGTACACCGATGTCGATGCCTCCAACTTCGTCAGCGTCAAGTCCGCTGGTGCCAAGGGTGATGGTACAACTGACGACACCGCCGCCATCCAGAAGATCTTTGACAGCTGGAAGGATGGTCAGGTCGTCTACTTCGACCACGGTGCCTACGTTATCACATCTACCATCAAGGTCCCTAAGGACATTCGCATCACTGGTGAAATCTGGCCCATGCTCATGGCTCACGGCCCCAAGTTCGCCGACCAGGAGAACCCCGTTCCCGTCTTCCAAGTTGGTCAGAAGGGTGACTCTGGAAATGTCGAGATGAGCGATCTCATCATTACCACCAAGGGTGCCGCTGCCGGTGCCATCCTCATGGAATGGAACGTCGCCGGTGCCTCCCAAGGCTCTGCCGGTATGTGGGATGTCCACTTCCGCATTGGTGGTGCCGCCGGTACCGAGCTCCAGAGCGATACCTGCCCCAAGACCCCCAAGACCAAGACCACCCCCAAGAAGGAGTGCATGGCCGCTTTCATGCTGCTGCACATCACTTCCAAGGGAAGCGCTTACCTCGAGAACACATGGTTCTGGACCGCCGACCACGAGCTCGATCTCAAGGACCACAACCAGATTAACGTCTACACTGGTCGTGGTGTCCTCATCGAATCCCAGAACCCCGTCTGGCTGTGGGGTACTTCCTCCGAGCACCACCAGCTCTACAACTACCAGGTCTCCAGCGCCAAGAACGTCTTCATGGGCCTCATCCAGTCCGAGACCCCTTACTACCAGTCCAACCCCACAGCCCTGGTCCCCTACACCCCCCAGGACTCCTGGAACGACCCCGACTTCGCAAACTGCAAGACCGCTTCCTGCCGCAAGGCCTGGGGTCTCCGTGTCCTCAAGTCCTCAGACGTCTACGTCTACGGCGCAGGCCTCTACAGCTTCTTCGAGAACTACGCCCAGTCATGTCTCAACTCAGAGGACTGTCAGGAGAACATGGTCGAAGTCGACTGCTCTGACGTCAAGCTCTTCGGTCTCAGCACAAAGGCCTCAGTCAACATGGTCACTTCCGCTCAAGGAAAGGGCCTTGTCCCCCAGAAGCCAAACAAGAGTAACTTCTGCTCTACCATTGCTCTCTTTGAGCAGTCTTAGTTTTCTTTCACTTTTTGGACTTGTCCACCCTTTCCTGTTTTTTTGTTCTTAAACTGTCCCGGACATATGTCGCGGATTCCTCGATACCTGGGTTATGAGATCATTAATAGATTTTTTCTTCTTCTTTTCAATTCATGCAATGATCTATAATGACAAAAGCTCGATGTTCTCTTTATGCTCTCCTTGGTAACATGTAGTATAAAATATACGCAAATGCTATTTCCCGTTAGGAACAATCGAAACCCCTGAGCTCAAAAACAACCCAGGGAGAACGAAGGCGCGATTTCCTTGTACCTGTCCTGCAGACCAGAATACACAACAACCTCCATCACAGGCTATCGGCGAGACAGCGGTACAAGCTGCTCCACGAGAGAAGTGCAGTTCAATGGACCAGAGAGAATAGTCCAATATTTCAGAAGGACATATGTGTTGTCCGTGGTCTATGCTAGATAGCTTTCTGTTGAAGATGAATTCGGTCAATGGATACTGATTATAGCATTGGAGATGAGTATATCGCTGCTTAAAAAGAGTAAAAGCCCCCAAAATGCATCCAAAAATCAGATTCAAATCCAAGTTCACTGCTTGTACCAGTCATCGAAGCCAAGGTCCCAACCAAATAGGGGCGTATTGATACGCTTCGCCTTTCCTTGCGCAGCCAGTCCATTGAGCACATCCATATCCTGGCCTGAGAGAGGAATAATTTGACTGTTGCTCACGATGCGATTCTCCTTGATCGACTTGGGCAGTACAACAACACCCCTATTGACATGGTAGCTGATGAGTACAGCAGCAGGCGAAACATCATTCTTCTTGGCGATTTCTTGAATCGTGGGATCAGACATGAGTGGGGCTCCTGCAAAGGATGAAGTTAGCAAGTGATCATGAAGATTCCTTATAACATGTCAAGTACTAACCTTCAGACCCGAGTGGTGAATATGCCTCCAGGAGAATGCCGTGCCCATCACACCATTCTTTCAACGCATGCTGAGGAAGGAAAGGGTGAAGCTCGACTTGGTTGACAGCAGGGACAACAGTCCACTTCTTCTTGAGCTCCTGGAGATACGGAATTGACCAGTTGGCCACGCCGATGGCTTTGACTTTGCCTGCTTTGTAAACTTCCTCCATTTGACGCCAGGTCTCGTTCTGGTCCCAGCTTCGGTCGACGGATCGTGTGCCATCGGGATTGACTGGTAGAAGGGCGCTTGTCTCATTCTTTGCGATCAAGTTAGTCGTCGGGATAAATCATGGAATTTTTGTGGAGGGGAAAAGTAAAGTGACTTACAGCGACTAGTCGCACTGGCCAGTGGATGAGCTGCAAAGTGTATTAGCACCATTCATGACGATCTCGGCTCACAGGAGAGGGTAATTACATAGAGATCGAGATAGTCTGTACCCAGTGCTTCAAGTGTCTTCTGGAGGCCTTCTGCCACATTCGACTGGTGGGTATTCCAGAGCTTGCTGGTGATGAAAATGTTTTCGCGAGCGACACCACTGTCCTTAATGCCCTGCCCGACTTCGTGCTCATTTCCTATATCCGATTAGATTTCAGTTGCTTGGTTGTTTTGATACACTCAAACACACCATAGATCCTGTAATTGTTAGCGAATCATGATTGCAACAGCTCTAGGGAGACACGAATCTTACAATGCAGCGTCAATGTGGCTATATCCATTCTTCAGTGCGAATGAAACCGCCTGGCGTACTTGGCCAGGCTCAGATCTCCAGGTGCCTGTACTTCTCGTCAGCCAGCGACTGCATCAGCCAGAAATTTCATCGTACCAAGTCCGACGGCAGGGATCTGAGCACCGGTATTCAGCTTGAAATGAGTCGAAGGTGCCATCTTGGTATAAATCGAGTATCAGGAGATGATCGAGGATCGAAGTTTTTTACCAAATCGGAATCAGATAGGAAGTGAGAAGAGCAATGTACTTAAGTAGATGGATCTCTCTCTATGTAAGAGGGCACTGCCATGATGTCAAGCATCTCACATGGCCTAGAGAAAATTGCCCCGCGCGAGATTAAAGCCTGAACTATATGGGAAATTTGGCCCGTTGGCGATCCGACAAATGAGTTACCTTGATCGACACACCTGATACAGCAATAGAGCCCTGGAGGACAAGTCCCCTGTGCGCCGCTACCTTCTTAATGCGGCAAATTCTTCCTGAAGGGGTTAGACGTAATTGCGGGACTCTCGTGGGGCTGGGGTAAAGAGTTCTGCGGGGTTACTTCTCTTTAACTACCTGATTAGTATCTTGATCGTCTCTTCCGTGGAGGGATTCCCTGTAGATACTGTGGGAAGACTAAGGGCAAAATGCAACTCTGCCCTGCGTGGCTAAGTATTTCCAATGTTCTCCGGTCGTGATTGCCTATATTATTGTTTGACATGTTTACTCACGTAGCTCCCACATTTTGTCGATAGCTCTCTGCTTCTAGATCTTCTCCTACCCGATCCATGCTCCTTTGCTTCTACAATATTGAATGGACTAAGCCCATGGAAGAATTATTTCACTACCTTCTTATTTCTTACTCACTTTCTCACTTTTAAACCCCCCAGCCACCATGGAATCCCTGCCATCCTTGTGAAGCTATGACAAAAGGAGAGCAATGAGAGGACATCATGGCTATCCAGGAGACTGGGGAAAGGTAGAACTGAAAAACCAAAGAAGCAGGTGAGCATATCTATCTACAGGGTGTTTGACCGGTCTGATCAGGGTCAAATCAGTATGAGCGTTCGCTCGTCCTCGCCTTCTACAATATTGACTGCGACTTCGCTATCGTCAGTTTGTGAAGAAGGCCTCTCGGGAGAGATTGACACTCAACCCTTCACAACTATCAACGTGCTTGACACGCCCTGCTATCGAGAGAACGATCAGCAATAAATCCGTGACTCTATGCCTATCGTGGAGTCTAGGGAGGAGACAGAAGGGAAGAGGCAGAGCTCTCCGCGAAGTATGGCAGTCTGACCCCGGGGTCCCCAGATCTTGCAATACCTGTGACGCCGCCACACGGCACTACAGAAGAACCGAAGTCTGCGGCACTATTTGGCTTTTTCGTTGGTGCCTCTAGGCGAAATCTTCGAAGTCCTGAAAGAAATCCTGAAGGAAGAATTTACGTGCCGAGGCATATATAGCCTCTACGAACTTGCGGCGGCTTTTGACCCGCAAACCACCATGACCTGGGAGTGGGCGCGGAGCAGACGTGCTGGTAGGTTACGCCAAGGAGCCTTCTCTTTACCCTTCGCAGTACTTGACTATATCTTCAGTGCTAAAAAAATCTTGTTTTATAGGCGACATGGCCCGCCCACTCCCGATCATGGTGAAGCCGGCCATGGAGGCCGAAATCCCCACCCTTTCTCTGCCCATAGAGGGCAATTTCATTTTCTTCCTTGGGACGCTTCAGGCGGCCAAGCGCGATATCCCGTTGAAGAAAATATCGACTTGGCAGCTCTATAGCCGATTGACCTCCGCAGTTGAGCTTCCATGGTCCATCAATATTGGTGATCTCCTGAATGCTAGCTGGCCGCTTGCCGATCAAACACGATGCGACACATGGCTTTCTCAGCACATATTTGAGTCCGCTGCTCCAGCTCTGAACACATCTCAGCACCACACAAACTTGAGTGCTCTGCACAATATCTACTACACCGGAGATCTGCAGCCATGGCCGGGCTTCGTCGATGCTGTTCGGACGTTCCATGAAAGCCGCACCTGGCGGCAACAGACTCTGGGCTTCATGATTGAGGCCCGAGATTTGTATGCCTACGGCAATGTCGAGGTTGGAGACGAACACGGTGTTCAAGGGCGCTTTCAAAAGTTATTCGGCGACGTACTCAACACAATATTCGAGTCACAGTCGACGACGGAGGAGAACATCGACCTCCGTTTCGCGGATTTCAAATGTGTCCAGTCTGCGTACCCCGGGACACCTGATGTGATACTGAAGGATAGCAAACACGCCTTGAAAATCGTTGGAGAGCTCAAAGTACCCTGGGTTAGCGAGCATCAGATTGAACCACGAATTAGCTATGCAAAGCGTCTAAGAGAGTTATTAGCACAACCCATTATGTATATGAAGGATCTTGGATGCATGTACGGCTTTCTGAGCACGTACGAGGAGACGATCTTCTTGCGACAAGTCGTGGACAATAATGGCGTATGGAGGATTGAGTATTCTCCCGTGATCTTGTCGTTCACCACTTACGATAAACGCATGACCACTTCCCCTGTTGTTTCTGTGAAGCAATGTTTTTTCTATGTGGGCCTCAATGCGTTGAATCAGGGGCCGGTTCAGAACACCTAATAATACAGATAATAACATACAAGCCGAAGAAGAAAACTCCACAATACGTATGCTTATCACATCGGGACATTCAGTAGTTTCAAGCATGATTTCGTCGGCAGATTTTGTAGGGTCTGATAGAACTATGTAGACACTGCCTCATCCAAGCACGTTGTGCCTGCTAGTAATTAGCAGATCCCAGGGCCCCAAAGACCTTTGCACGACTTGATGTTTTGATATTCCCGGGATGATATAACTCTTGAGAACGCCAGGCAATATCTTGAACACGAAGCAATTTATAGGATTCATCTATGATATCTAAGCCTTGTAAGGAGGTGGTGAAACACCCTCTTTGAGAGCCTTGAGTCGCAAAGCCAACAATTTCGAGGCATACCGAGTCATCGGTAGGAAACCGACCATAATCCACATATTAGGAACCCCAGTCTCCCGATAAGCTGTCTTGTATTCACCTTCCTCGTCAATTCCCCAAATAGGTCCACACTGACTGGCGATCTTCTCGCCGAGAGTGGCCCGAATGGAATCAATCGTGTTCGAGAATCCAGTAGCAAAGATGACGAGATCGAACTCCTTTTCGCGGTTGCCGTTCAAGATTACCTTGTCTTCGGTGAACTTCTCAATAAATCCTGGCTCAACTTTAATGTTTCCATTGATAATCTCGTCGCAAGCCCCGGCATCGAAATAGAACCCGCCGTTCCGGGTCTGTCCGAGTGTAGAATTGCCGGTGTCGCGCTGACCGCGCCATGTGCGAAGTCCTCGGGCATTCAGAGCTTCAAGCATAGGGCTATCGAGATCCTCGAGGTCTTTTGCTGTGCGCTTAGCGAGCTCCTCGCCTGGACCAACTGGCATTGAGAAGTTGAGGCGATCTTGCACATCTGTATCGGGGAGTTTGCCATTCTGATCAGGCGCATAGCCCCCAAGCATACGGGGAACCGAATGAGTCAAGGACATGACGTATGTCGGTGATCGTTGGAGAAGGGTCACGTCGATGCCTAGGCGGGCACATTCGTAGGCTGTATCGAATCCCGAGGAAGAAGTGCCAACAACACAGACCTTCTTTCCGATGAAGTCGCGGGCTGTTTTGTGAGCGCTGGAATGACGGATCACACCTCGGAAATCGGTCATGCCAGGTACGGCTGGGGTGGACGGAACACCGCATAGCGAGGTGGCCATTATGAGCTGCTTGGGATGCAAAGTGCGAGTCTCTCCTGCCTTGTTGATTATGACAGTCCACCTTCCTTCGGAGTCTTGATCGGCCTTGACAACTTCTGACTTGGTCCAGACATTGAGCTCCAAGGCAGATGCATACCACTTCATGTACAGGCCCTGCTTTTGAGCTGGGGTGTAAGTGGGCCAGTGTTGAGGGTATTTGAAGTATGGCAAGGCATCGGGCCAGTGAGGGAAGTGTAGAGAGAGGTACTCGTAGCGCTTCTTCCAGATATCTCCGACTTCGTCACTGCGCTCGATGATCAGGTTCTCCATGCCTAGGACTTTGAGGCGTGCTGCCATTGCGAGACCACTAAAATCAATTAGCACCGGATCATAGACTTTTTACATCGTTTGTTCTTACTTTTGACCACCGCCGATGATCAGCACCTCGGGATCCACGGTGTTGATAGTTTCGGATCGCTGACTTTCCCAGCTAGTGATACCAGTCATATGCCCGTCTGCGGCAGCCTGCTCTGGGAATTGTTTCAGACTCTCAGCAACAGTGTGCATTGTGTAAATCTTCCAGCCATCTTTAGTAAGGACTGCGTTGATGACCGCAGAAGCAGTAACAACCTCAGTCTCGAATGAAACAACAAATTGTAGCTGGGAGAAGTCGGGATACGGGCGGGACACCGAAGGCGCAGGCGCGAGAAACTCAAAATTTCTAGCCTTAGTCTGAGGCAAGAGGTCTGTGGCGGCTTTCAGAATGGCGTCTCTGAAGTTGAATGTGCGGAAGTCCCAAGTGAATGAGAGCTTATCACGCCATACACCTATGCAGTTATCAGTTAGAGCCGGAATTTGGCATTCTGTTTATGAGGGGTCTCACCATAGTCGAGGAATAGTCCAGCAAAAGCTTCCGCATCTTCACTAAAAGTGGCTTTGGAGAGACGAGCTACAATCCCCTCAGCCTCTTTTTGGGCATCGCAATCGGCAGGGATCTCAATTCCCAAAACCTCGGTGGTAGGGAGACTGTGGTTGTACTTGAAATCGTACATGAAGTCGTCTGCAACGGGCTTTGAAACCTGGTCATGCTTTAGTGCCACACTCTTCAATTGGAGGTGGGCTGTAGACAAGACATCGCCAGCAGTGTCCTGGACGTAAGGTGCCATTGTCACGAAGAGTTTGGGGATTTTCAGTCTGATCTCGTGAAAGTCAGGAAATTCCCGAGTTCGATATTTGAAATGCAGGATTGTGCCTTTCCATGTCCGAAACATTGATCTATATATGACATTGTCTTTAAATCTTCCATTTGCTATCTCGAATTTCCTTAAACAGGAATGTCAGATAAAATCTCCTAATCCGGCAGGTGTCGCCGCTCCAGTGGGAGCCTCTCCCCGCACCCCCCGCAACTGACCACGAATTACTCCTTTCGGTAGTAGACGGCGATAAATTCTTTCCCGGTCAACGCGAATTCAATTGACTTTCAGATTATGCATGCATCAGGGAATTGCAGATTGAGTAGATTGGTGCCCATGATTAGGTATCATTCGCCGGGAGAATCGACCGCGCGGTTCAATCCCTGGATGTCATCAGAATTTGTAGCGCAAAGGTTTCATTACCTACATGTCTTTCCAGGTTGAAGGTATACAAATCCTCTAGGGTTGTGTTATCCTAAGACGTACGAGGAATCTTCCTAGCTGCTTAAAACGATATACTTCTAAAGTTGCACGCAGCAACTATCCATGGATGAAGTCCTCGAACAGATCATTGAGGTCAGTATTCCAAGATTTTCGGGGAAGATACAGTATTTCTAGCACAATCACTCTACGATTTCCATAATGTTAAAGGATTCAACTCGTGAATGAGGCCGAAATGACCAAAGCTCATTTTTGTTCCTATCATAACTATAGGCAACCACTTCAATTTACTCCATGATGGGCAACCCATTCTCATCAAAGTATACAGGTACACCCTTACGGAAAGAGTATTGCAAAGCAGCACAAATCTTGCCCGCTTCAAAAGCATCCTCCGGCTGACAAGTCAAAGGCTTATCATCAAGCACCGCATCAGCAAACTCAGCAAGATCAGTCAAGAAAGTAGCATCAAACAGCGTGAACGCATCAGGCACAGACTGTGTTCGAATACCAAGATGATCGCGAATTTCGACATTCGAGTTAGCACTGATGATCGAATGTCCCTTGGTGCCACACAATCGAGTAGTGTCCTCGAAACCGCTGGTGAGGGTTCGCCCGAGGTAGGTCTTGAAAATCTTGCCGTTGGCAAATTCCACTAGACCCCATGCATTATCGGCGTCGCCGAATTTCGCCAGTTCTCCGTAGACGGCTTGTTGGCCGAAGGCGATGACTCTGTTGACTTGTTTCTTTGGGTTGGAGAGGCCGGATTTGACGTCCAATAGGTATCGTCCGGCGTCGACCTGTAATCTGTCAGTATTAAATATGGAATGGGGATGGATTCTGTGACTGACTGTATGGATACCGAAATCAAGGAAAATGCCACCAGACTGCTCGGAGAAGGCCACAAAGAAGGCTAAGAAGATCAGTCAATTGATCTGCCTCGACAGCGAGCGGGAAGTCGACTCTTACCATTTGGATCTGCTTGATCGATACCAGTTGTCTCAACAGCGTGGATCTCCCCCAAGTCTCCATTGTCAATCAGGGCCCGGGCCTGGCGGTAGGACTTGTCATCTAGCGAGAGTTAGTACCATGATATCAAAAAAGCAGAGAGATCTGGGTAAACTTACACCGACGAGTGAACGGAACGAGGAACTTGAGGTCAGGTCGAGAAGCAGACTTCTCAACCACTGCCTTGGTAGTAGCAATATCCACCGAGACAGGCTTCTCACACATAACATGCAAGTTCAAATCAAGGGCCTGTAGGATCAATGGAGCATGGGTAGCAGTGGCAGTACAGATGAGTACTGCTTCAGCTCCACTATTCTTCAAGCAGTCTTGAGGGTCGGAGAAATACTTGACAGATGGGGGCAGGTTCTCTGCAGCCCATGTATCAGTACCTGGCTTTGTATCGCAGACTGCAACGAGTTCGATCCGAGGCTGTTGGAAGGCTAGAATGCGAGCTCGAAGAACACCCAGGCGGCCGAGACCGAATAGCGCAAATTTCACACGGTGGCTTCCGTGCGACATGGTTTGTGGTGTGAGGAGAAGCCTTTGCGATTGACAGCACGGTCGTGTTGGTGAACCTTTTCAATTGTAGGCAGCGAAACGAATGCAAGGATTAGGAAAATGCAATAATCTTGACAGGGAGTCGAATGGTATATTGCGATTTTCCAATTTCTGGGATAGAGGGGTATTTAACAGATCTCTGGGCAGTAGCAGTTGGCGCAACCCTAAGCTTCCCCGCATGATAGCGACTATTCGATCCAATGACTAGCCTGTATACTGTGCCATTGCCAATATGGAAATGAATGAACATGCTCCAGACATCTGAAGTCCAATGATGACAGCTGCACTGAAATTACCGGAAGTAGTAAGTCAGCGGCGATAGTTGCCTCTAGTGATCCCCCCGCACTCCAATCCCCCTCACATGAAGTATGTAGCTTTCGAGCTGTGCACGAATAGATCTCAGTGCTGTTTTCGATTGTACTCTACAGGCAAAAGGTGGATAGCTAAGTGACTATTGGCATTTCAATATCGCGAACTTGTAAACTGTTATGACCAGGAAGCTAGTCCCGAAAAGGAAACAGAGGCTGATTCAGATTCTCTGCGGATTCGGGAGCTTTGGGCTTCCACGCTTGCGGTGACCCTGAGGATTTTAGGGAGCAGTAAACAAACATATGAGGTCACCGCGGGGTGTTTGACATGCAGGTTTGACGGAGAGGCATATTCTGCTCTCGCCTTTATATAGATGCTTTGGCAGGGAGACTAGCTCCCATTCTAGTTCTTCTTGTTGATTAGGACCCTTCAATACTACATATTGATACCTAGGCAGGGTTCTTGCCTTTGTATCACATACACTACGAGGGTTTGGTAAGAACCCCGATTAGGTCCGTTTGCTCTTTCTTCTTTTCAGTTCTCCTTCCCCTTAACTTTATTTATCTTTTACTTCTGAATCCCCTCCAACCTTTCAGGATGTGCAAGATGGAAGCTCAACGAGAACCCATACTACAAGTTGGAAGATTCCGAACCAAACGGAGCCAACCTGACGGCGCCTGGTTTATGGAACAATGCGGTGGGCGAAGGGACAATATTGAGGCCTTGGTCACACAGACCGTAGGAACGGCGTGCAAGCTGGAAGAGGCATGTGTCAGTTGCCAACACTTCATTTTCTCATTTCTCAGTCTGACTCCTTTCTTTCAAAGCGATTCTATCAAGTACTGCACACATGAGGCTGCATTGAAGCATCCCATCATCATACTCCTGGCCTGCAGGACGAGAATGAAACGCGGATGGAAGTACTCAACTCGCTCTATTCTTGTTGAGGGCGAAAATACATGAACGCAGCCTCCAAGTGAAGATAAGAGAGCCAAAAAGCAAGAGGGAGCAACCCATCTCCCTTTGAACCAGGATCTAACAACAAGATAAAACGCGGGTGGAAATACTCAACTCATTCTATTCTTATCGAGGGCGAAAATACATGGAAAACGCAACATCCAGCTCGACACAGACTGTCCTCATGGCTCGCAATACCTTCTGTTGCGATGCATCCCCGTCGGTCTTTTTTCGGCGCTTGTTGAAGATCAAGTGAAAGATAAGAGAGCCAAAAAGGAAGAGGGAGCAACCCATCTACATTTAAATCAGGACCTACCAACAAGAGAAAACTCGGATGGGAGCGATTGGCTCGCAATTGCATTGAAGGTTACCGGCAATGGAATGAGCCGGCGCGAGAAATCCGGTCTTGCACCAACGCCCACTGTGATCCGATCAATGCAGTGAAAGAGAAGAGAGCCGAAAAGCAAGAGGGAGCAACCCATCTACATTTGAATCAGGATCTACCAACAAGAGCAAACTCGGATGGGAGCGATTGGCTCGCAAATGGGGGATCCATCAGCGAGATGTCGCATGGGCCAGAGTCAGAAAGGGTGTCAGCATTCAACGCCGAAACATCCCCAATCGCAGAAGCCTGCTACGAAAGTTCTGCCCCCAAAGATGGATCTCCAATAGTCGTCAGCGTTGTGTCACCCAGAGGATATCTCACAGATAACAGATGCACTACTTGTCCACCACAATAACGCTCGAATCGATCTGGTGGCCATTAAGCACTGCGAGCGTTGGAACACCTTGTCCCAACGGCATCTGCCAACCCCTGGTGACATGGAGAATTACATGGATAACACGGGTCTATGGATGGTACAGAACAGAATATTCAACGAAGAATTCGTGTCAATACCGGGAGCTCTAGACAAGTGGGTAGTAAGACGGCCATGAGCTCAACCCAATCATCTAAAGCAGTCTCCATCAAACCGCAGCCTTCTCCCATGGATCGGGAGCCAGGGGAACCGTCGAGTTCTTGATCCTGGCAAACCTCTGCAATGAAGAGGTGATGACAATACTCTCGTCAACGAGTTACACTCGAGGCCTTGTTGCAACCTTGTCACTCAGTCCTCCATACTGTCACTCTTTGGAAGGCAAATCGCACTGCACTATTCCGAATCATGCCCAACAGACAGCACAAGTCGCTGTGCAGCAGATTCGACGAGTTTCTTCTTAAAATCTTACTGTCCTCGTTCTTTCCTACTACAACGAGGAGCGCCGTATACTCAGTGACCTGCTACGGCAGATGGGCCACTCCGAAATCTCCGTTCGGAGTGTCGACTCCGCTCAAGGCTCTGAAAGCTCGGTGGTGATCCTTTCCACCACTCGACCTGGTGGCAAGTATGGTCTTGGCTTCCTGGCCGACCGCAAGAGAAGCTGTGTGGCCTTGAGTCGGGCCCAAAGCTGTCTCGTCATTGTCACATGGAAAGATATGAGTATCAATCTCAGCGTCGAGCATTTGCAGAGTAAGTTACCATGTGGACACGCTGAAGAAATTCGAATGGTCGCTAACATAACTTTTGTAGTCAATACCTCGCGAAGTGAGCAACCAATGTCAAATTGAATCACACAAAAGATGAAGTGGCTGGACAAGCCGTACAATTCAACCTGGCTGGAGTTCGCGCACTCCGCTCCTTGAAGATGCTAAGTTGTTCGACGAAGTTATCGCGTCTTGACGTCCACCATACCGCAGTAGGACTCAACACAAATGTTCCACAGTCAGCCAAATGGCGGGACGTCAGGCTCACCGCTGTCAGGAGACAGCTCTAAATCTGACGGTCCAATCTCCTCCTGGATCGAAGTCATGGAGCGAGCCCCTCAAGTGGGCTGGATGATCGTGGCGGCTGCAATTGTGTACAAGCTTGCAGTCACGGCTTTGGAGATGTGGCGGGAGTGGTGGCGGTAAATACGGTCCATACTATTGACTGGCGTATAGATAATGATAGGTTGATGCCTTTTTCAGCCAGGGGTGCCTTAAGAAGGGGCGCTTTTGCCCTCCGTTTTCGTTTGGCGGGTGTTTTTCTCGCTGCAAATGGTCAGCCTGGGGCAGATGCCTCAAGTGTCGAAAGATCCGGTAGCCTGGGGGCTGCTGTGGGGGTTGCCGTTGCTCCCAAATGACCTCCAGAGCATCATCAAGCCTGGATCGACGCAACGATTTCCCGTTGCACAACATCAGACCGGCAGTGCGTGAGCACCGAGACTTGCCAACCTTCACAGTAGCAGATTCTGCTGATGAAGACTCGGGCGGTGACTGTAAGTGCATTTGCATGTCGAACACTGACTTCAGGATTGAGTACAATGATTTGATATCATCATCAACATCATTATCTTTCAGCATGAACAACACCACTGTCATCCATAGATTTATTTCACGCCCCATTTTTCTTCGTCAGCCTCTCATTCTTGACTGACAGATACTGACATGCGACTCATAGGATTCAAACTGCCACCTTCTCTCCTGTTGGTCCTGGAGAAAAATCAAAAAAAATCAAAAAAAAATCATCATCATCATCATCACCACTACCAGCCCTGGAGGGGTTTTCTGAGGTTCGTTCTTTATATTTATACTTACTTATACATCTCCGCGTCGACTTCCGTGACGTGAGCCTCGCTCGTAAGAGCAAGAGCTTCATCACGATTCGTGATATGCGTCGCAGCTCTTACTCCACCACCAAAGCGTTCATCAATGTACACAGACTGCGCGCACATCATCCCATTTTCTCTTGCATCTTGGACCACAGACTCTGAAGCATACGCCAAAGACATCATTTGGAGTGTTAGAACCAAAATACATTGAACTGTAAGTCATATCACTTTAATGTCTTTTTCTCACCCCTACTAACTGCCCGCAGGTTCGAAGCAGAACTAGAAGTCTACCAACAGATCTGGACCCATCCCCGAGCCAAATATCACGTCTTCGCTGACTGGTACCTGAGGGGAGAGATAATTTGCTCCAGCATTTTCCCATCAGGATATGTTCTCGTCTTATCCCCTTCTAGAGGAGAAGACGCCGCTGTCAGGAGATAGCGCTAAATCTGACAGTCCAATTTCCTCCTGGATCATAGTAATGGAGCGAACCCGTCAGTGGGTTGGATGATTATGGCCGCTGTAATCGTCTACAAGATTGCAGACTTGTTTTTGCGCATGGCTTGGGCGTAACAGCATAGAGACGGTGTGCAAATTGATTGGATCTGGTACACTCTGTCGGAGGCTGAACGAGCGCACGTCCAGTCTCAATGTCTCGGTGGGATCAATGTTTTGCGAGAAGTGGCCGTTCGTATTGACGACACTGGCATGCACAACATCCTCTACTGCAGAGACAGCCATGAGCTGACTTTGCTTGATTTCGAAAGCGCTGTTGACGTCGAGTCCGAGTCTGATATCCCGACAGACTACGAGATGGATCATATCTTTCGCCCCCACCTTTTTTTACAACGAGCCTCTAGTGGGTAGGACCCCATCCACGAAGTGATCCAAAGCTGAAGCTAGGAAGTTTGAAGCTATTACAACCAAGTGCGACGCTCGGAAGTTTTGGCCCTCGGGCGGAAGTTGGCTCGACAAGTCTACAGTTGTGACTATGGCACGCTCTGTCTCTGGTGTTGAACTACCTGCGCAATTCATTCGCAACAAAACTTTCGACTCCACCAACCAGTCTGATGGTGTCAAGACTGGTATGTGGGGAAGAAAGAGAGCTCGAGAGAGAGGTGGGCAGAGAAATCCCCAGCTGTAGCTCGGTCCCAACACAGTCGGGTACTGGACGAGCTCATGTCCAACCCAATGTCTCAGTGGATTCAATGCCTAGCGAAAAGTGGCCGTTCGTCTTGATGACACCAGGACGCACACTATTCTTCATTGCAGAGATAGTCGTGAGGTACTTTTGAGAATGAAGGCGAGATAGGCAAGACCATCAGCACCTGGAGTGGCAATACTCGCGGTGGTTGTCCGTCCCCCGGAGCATTCCGAGGTCCCTATTCCGCATGCTGTCGGACCCCCAGAGCACACTGCTTGGATCCAAGATGACGACATGGTGGGCTTCATGGCCCCTCGGGTGTTCCTACACCACCGCTCTCTCCGAGTAAGAGACGGCGTCACCTGCGTGAGTCAGATGACGTTGAAGGAGACATGAGTCTCGAACAGTACCTTATTATTTGCAGCTTTTCTGCGCCTATTGCCCATGGCAACGGCCATACGGCCGAAAACTGCTGGAATGTCCAGCACCTGGCGGCATTGATCCGCCAGGTGACCGCCGCCCCGCCCCCTCCAAAAAAGGTAAGATTGATACCTCTCTTTTCCATGAGAAACATTGGATTGGCCTAACATGTTGTCACAGGCAAGCCCAAACGCCGGGGTTCCAAAATTCACTTTGGAGGCGACAATGGGAGTCGAGCCCGAGTCTGATATCCTCACAGACCATAAGATGGATCGCATCTTTCGCTCCTGTCTTTCTTTCTTTCTTTCTTTTTTTTTCAGCAACCAGCCTCTAGTGGGTAGGACTCATCCACGAAGTGATTCAAAATGGAGAAGAAAGAAAGCTCGGAAGAGAGATGGAGAGCTGTCTCCAGGTGTGAATCGGTCCCACCAACCTAGCCCACTCGATGTTGTCTATTTAGACGCAGAGACAGATGGATCATTTTCTACAGTCATTGCACCCTGCAAAAAACAGTACTTGAAAGGATCACAATGACAGACAGCAACAATTGTTTGTATTGAGTTACACGGACATCCTACTTCCGACTCACAACGACACTTGGCCTACTGTCGTGGTGTAAGTTGCTGTGTCGGAAAGAAAGAACAGACTTCGCGCAGACGGGGCTTGGTGGTTGATCAATAGTCAGGGACTTGTGAATGTTGTCATAACAGTCTGATACAATTCAAAAATAATCGAAGCCACAAGCTTACAATTCTTTCTTGAGGAAGTGCTCTGGCTTATGCGTAGTCTCATAGTCGACATGGACATAAGCACGCTCAACATCAGGAAGAGACTCAAGCTTGATCTGAAGCTCCTCGGCAACGTCATGTGTAGCACGAAGAGACGCATCCGCATCCATGACAACGTCAACCTCAACCAGCAACCGTGGACCAGAAGTGTAAGCGCGGACAGTATCAATGGCCGTGATGACTGGTGAGTGAGTCATCGAGATGTAAGTGATGAGTTGTTGCATGTTCGTGTCAGCAGTGACGCCGACCAGAAGCTGGAACTCGCCGTACGCAGAGTGCAGCCAGAGAACACTGACCAGCACGGAAAGAATAATCGCGCCCATTGGGTCGATCCACCAGCGCAACTTACTACCACCGACGGAGGTGAGGATACCGAATCCATTGATGAATAGATCGTTGCGGTGGTCTTCCCACAGAATGCGAATCTGGGAGACTTGGTTGCGGAGAGCCCAGCAGTACAGGAAGAGAGCGAGCTTTGTGGCGAAGGCGACTGAAACGGCGATCACGGAGGGGAGGTGGAAGTTTTGAGTTTCTTCCTCGGAGCCCACTGCTAGCTCGCGGATTGAGAAAGCAATTAGAATGAAGGAGACGGCTGTCATGAGGAAACAGAAACAGATATTGCCTGCGGTTTCGATGCGAGCTTTGCCGGCAGGGAACTTGCGTGGATCGACTCGGTTGACGGCTTTGTTGCAGAGGAGGAGAGTCAGGTTGGACATTGGGTCGAATACAGCGTCGGCCATGGTAGTGAAGAGGGAGAGGGAACCGGAAGATACGGCGCCGTAGACTTGAATGATGGAGAGGATGATGTTGGCTGCAAAAGAACCGTACACTGCAATACGGTATTTCAGACGGTTATCGATGTTCAATTCACGGGCAGCGCGACGATGTTCTTCCACAGGCTTGAGCATGCGCTCGATATTCTCGTTTTGCGACTCGTAGAATCCCTGGAGTTTCTTTGTGATGAAAGCCTGCTTTCCCAGACGAGTGGTGTTCTCGACCATGGACGCGACTTTCCGATTCTTGTTGGTGCCGGTGGTTGAATCACGTTTCCGGGAGGTATTGGCTTTCATCTGACGGATCTCATCCTCGGACTTGAGCTTCGAGGCCAGGCGGAATGGATCATTTTGGGCAGTGTATCGTGGTGGAGGGGCACCTTCCTCGTCACTGGAGCTGCCACTGCGGTGCATGATTGCGAGTTCGTGATCGAGGGCAGTGGTGGTACCTTCGTTGGTGGGTGTCATCCTTTCAGAGCGGCTCGAGGTATGGTGCACGCTCTGAAAAGGGTGGGGGTGGTTTGAAAGACTTTGGCGCAAGTGTTCCTCCATTTTGTGTACTTTGTGCAGTATGGGATGAAAGACTTCAGGAATGAAGCAGCAAGGGGGAAAGAAATTATCTCCGTGGCAGTGCTTATCGCTTATCGTGTCGATCATTTGTTCACGGGTATAATGAAGCACTGAAATTCTACTGAAGCATTTAACATGTATTAAGTACTAAGTAAACATACTGAATTCAAGGCCAAATCAGCATTCAAAGTATAAGTATGAAAGGCTCAGATGGAATGTAGAAGCCATAGACTGTACATTTCTGCATGACAGCTGTCGATGCACAAAATACGCTGCCAAGGCCGATCTCTTGGCATCCCCTCTTTGGACCTCCGCTTGGCTATTACTTGGCTTTGCTATACAAGCTGCATTTATAGTAAGGAACGGGGTAAATTTGCTAACGATATCTAATATGGAACAAGCTCGCTCAAGCTACCACTCTTACAGTTTCACTGAAATTCCCAACTGAAATTCTCAGCATTAACCTCTCAGGGTCCACAGTGTCGATCGTTCCAATCCACATCAAGTATCACCTCATTTTTACAACCGGTCTAGATGTTTTTTTTTCTTTCCTATATTTCGCTAGACTATACAACCAAGTGGGGATCAGCACACTCGACTGAAACAACATCATGCTCTATATGACTCTCAGAAACCGCGATCACAACAGCGCTCAACTGATTACCATACAAGCAGCCTGAGTCCAGTCCGATTGAATACCTGCCCAACTGCAAACGACGCTTAGCATCGTGTCCAAAAACCACGGTGCTCTTGGACGTCAGACCATCTTGCCACTGGTCCCATTCCCTAACCCAGCTTTCCTCCCCTGGGACCTCTGCCGGTTTCAACGAACCCTCGTCGTCCGGTGTTTGAACCAGGCTCCGCATATGCATGACCGCATGTGGATCTTGATCTTCAAGGGGCACACCTGGAGTGAGACCCGCATGTACGACAATCAGGGAGTCACCAAGGGAGGAGGATGGGCGGTGAGGTAATTTGATGCGCAGGATCAAGGGCAGCTCAGCAAGCCACTTGAGGTGGCTTGTCGAGAGCGCTCGCGCTGTATTATACTTGGGAGACGGTGTCGTCTGTTCTGGGACATCGGGGTTGAGAACCGTGGCACCAGGGATATTGGCTTCAGGTTTCTCGGGTACAGGCACGCTGCTCAAGTTATTCTCGGGTGATGGATTTTCCTTGGCATCTTTTATTTCTGCGGCCGCGTTGAGAACGGCGTTGTCGTGATTGCCTCTCACCGCGCTGGCGCCTAGCTTGATAGCCAGGTCGAGAACACCGGGGCTATCAGGGCCCTTATTCACCAGATCACCAACTAGTATCAGGTGATCACCATTTTCTTTCTCAAAGCCGACTTTCTGGAGTAGAGCCTCCAGGGAACCTCTCATGCCGTGTACATCGCCTACGATGACCAGGCGTCCGCTGCCATTGCCAGCAGCGGACTGGAATAGATCGACGGGTAGGTCTGAAATAAAGGTTGTGATTGGAAATACCTCGGCCACTTTTTTTGACATTTTGAGGTTGAAGAAGTCCAAGATGAGTGTCAAAGTTGTCAAATGCAAAGGCTGAAGTGGGTTAGCCCGATACAGCCTAGCGTAGAACTTGACGCTTCACTCTTCACTACTTCAAATGTTCAATGCAAATGTTCTTTCAAATATCTAATTTACATACAGTCAATGAGATCTCAGTTTTCTTTAGACCACACTTTTCTTCCTGCAAACCAAGTCTCGTTGATCTTGGCCTCCAGCAACGCATCCGCCTCCCACTTCATGTCAACAACAACAAAGTCCGCTAATTTACCCACTTCCAAGGTCCCCGTGCGCTCATCCGCAAATACACTGCGAGCTGCACCCCCAGTTGCTGCAACAACAGACTCACACATGCCCAAGCGGAATTTCTCATTCACAATCTTGGTGTATTGGGGGTTTCTCGATGACTTCCGCGTAGTGGCCACATAAAGATTATCCATCGGAGCCCATGGTGAGGTCGGACTGTCACTTCCAATCGCCATGAGAGCCCCCGCATCGGCGAATTCGCGGTATGCGAATGCTCTCTCGCAGCGATCCTCCCCAAGGAGCCGAGGCCACTCTGTGAGGATGGAGGGGTCGGCATGAACGGGTTGGATGGAAGCTGTAAGACCGAGTTCTCCAAGTCTCTTTGCGTCCTCGGGAGATGCGAGCTCGAGGTGCTCGATTCGGTGGCGTCTGCCGGGGGTAGCGTGCTTTTCAATAGCGTCGATGGCTAATTTGATTGCCCCGTCTCCGATGGCATGAAGAGCGATCTGCAGGCCTGCGTTGTCGGCTTGCGCCACAACGGGATCCAAATGCTCGGCTTCCCAGATTGGTGGTGGTGAGCCGATTGGCGCGTATGGCTGCGACAAGAATGCAGTGCAAGCATCGATGATACCATCGCAGATTATTTTGATGCCAACAATTCGAACATCGGGGCTTGTGGTGGAGTTGTATTGTCCACTCAATTCAATCGCGCGCCGCACCTGCTTGGAATTCTCTTCATGGCTGCCGGTCGGCTTAATGAGCCAGTATGCTGACACGCGCATGGGGAGATCTGGATGTTGAGAGCGAAGAGTAAGAAGGCTGTCCCATGCTTCTTCGTCCATGGCCATCTCTATGACGCCAGTGTATCCCGCTGCATTATATTCATGAATGGCCTGGAGGATCGACTCCATGCGTTCTTCTTTGGACGATGACACTGCCTGGAATGGCCAGATAACTGACATCATAGCGCCTTCGTCCATCACACCTGACGGCTTGCCCTCTGCGTCCCGATGGATGCTACCACCTGGTGGGTCAGACATGGTTTCAGCACCAAGTTGCTTCAGCGCGCTTGAGTTCATCCAGCATGAGTGTAGTGAGCTTGCATCAATGAAAATTGGCCTTGGGTCAAGGTCATCCAGCATCGCAGCGTTTACACCACCCGGTGTCATGGAATGCATCCAGCCTTTGCAAAGAATAGTGGGGACATCTGGATTGGCGACCGCGTACTCTTTGATAGTTGATCGGATTTCATCCAGTGATTTGCAGGGTCGAAGATCCAGTTTACGGAGCGATTGCCCAAGGAGAAGAAGGTGCATATGGCCATCGATGAAACTTGGAAGAACAGTCTGCTGTTTGAGGTCATGGCGTTGAACCTCGGATGAGCATTCAGCAATGATATCTTCGAACTTCCCTGTCGCTGCAATTGATCCATTCTTTACCAGCATGCTATCTGCGAACACTGGCTCTCCATGTAATCCTGGGCCAGCCTTCGTCAGGACACGCCCGTTGAAGAAGATTGCGCCTTGTGCCATATTGTCCATATTGTCGAGATCTGTTTGTACACCGTTTCGACCAGAAATCCAGAGGGGAAGCTCAATTTTCAGGGGTGAGAATTCAGAGCACTTGACATTACATTTAGCAGGGCATTTCCTATATATTAAGTCAATCATCAGTGTGGTGCTATAGTTCCCCTCTCCGGGCCGGGGATCTTGGCATGTCAGGTCGGCTCGACCTGCCCTTCTCCAGACCCTGCGGCTCGACTTGCTCTCTTCCAACTGTACGAGTATATCAACATATCGAGACTTGTTTCAGTCTGTCAAGATAACGGTAAGCTCCACGATTTCTGTTAGCAGAGATTTATTTTGTGTGACTTATTTTCTTTCGATGTGGAGAGGGTACGAGAAACGACCTCTGTTGTTTTTTGCGTGCACCAAGATGCGATGTGTCCATGGATTCATGTAGACTGATAACTCTGGTACTGACCCATTGATGCTTTCACGATCTGCTTATATTCACAGCGCAGTTCTGTTACAGCCGTGTCACCCAATGCTTGGTCAAATAGTCCCCGGAGCAAAAGTACGACTCAGAATTTAAATGGAAAGACCTGCAAAAATTTGGAAGCCGAAAACAGCCTCATAATTGTTTCATTTTACAGCTACACGGCGCACAACGGAGAGATGCAGTCGAGGCCGAAGAGTTGATGGACACAACATCCGGCAAAGACTCGCGGACTTCCGGCCCACTTAGGAGGGGCGCAGTCCGGTTTTCCAACTGACATCTTCCACACAAGAGCCGAGAGCGCTCGACACCTCCAATGAGCGCTATATCAATTGGCTGCTGGACATGCCGTCTCCGGCACAAAAAATGTGACATTACCATTCCAATATGCAGGGAATGTAGTGACCGCAATGTTCAGTGTCATGGGTATGGGCCGAAGCCTGCGTGGATGGACGGGGCATCGGAAGAAAGGAAGGAAAAGACGCGAATCAAAGCAGCGATAAATAAGCACGTTCGACGAGTCCGGAAAATGCGAAATAGTATCAAAATCGCGTCTCGGGCGGATATTGAGCCTAAAACTACCTCGCCCAATGCTCTGGCTGGCTCTCCGATTGCTTCATCGCTGTCCGGACCTTCGATTCAAGATACTATTTTCAACCCTCAGGCTGCATCTCTGTTGATGCATTACCTGGATCAAGTCTTTGCGTGGCAGTTCCCCTATTTCTGTTCTACTTCCCGGCTGGGAAATCGAGGCTGGCTCCTCTATCTTCTTATGAAGCGAGGGCCTCTCTACCATGCCATTTTGAGTCTTTCATCACTTCACCAAAGCGCCATTCTGGGAAGTGAAGAGGAGTTCCAACAGAAGGAAAAAGCACTTGAGCATCATTCGAGGGCACTTCGGGAATTTTGCAAATTCATGAGCGAGGAGCGCGGAAGATTACTGGATGATAATGCTCGGCTGGCCGAGTTCCTGGCATGCAGTTTGATCATGATTAGCTGCGAGGTATGTATTCTTGCTAATTTTCCATCTCACGCCTAACGAGAAGTCAGGTCTTCAGGGGCGGCGAGCACGACTGGCTGCTTCACTTGGATGCTGTCATCTGCGTTATACGGTCACTTTCGCCAGAGAGAATATTCGGTACCCGTTCCCTATCTGACATCCAGCCCCCGGATATGACCCAAAGTCATAATCAAGAGGGTCTGGAATTTCTTCTCGCCACAATGGTCTCACTTGATCTCTTTGCTTGTCTTCCCACTGGAAGAATACCACAACTTCCATATCAGCAATGGCTCCAAACGCCCGAGATTCAGATTGTGGACTTATTGAGCTGCGAAAATTGGGTCATGATGATAATCGGCGATCTAGCCTGCTTGGGTGAATGGAAGAAAGCCCAAGAGCAAGAAAATATTCTCGACATTGTCGAACTAACCAGACGTGGCGACGAGATCAAAACACGTTTAAACAGTGGCATCGAGGAGCTTGATCTCATCAGGGATGTACGTAATTCCTATTTCCACCAGATATCTGGAATGCACTAACTGTTCATTCACAGAAAGAAAACTACGAACCCCAAACCAGCTGGGTTACCCGTCTCTATGCCCTCGCCTGCTTGGTTCTGCTGCACACAAATATTTCAGGACCCTTACCCACACTGCCCGAGATACGAGATACCGTTACCAGAAGTATCATCGAGCTCCAGAATCGTCCGAGGACGTACTCGCTCACTGGCTTGGTGTGGGCAATATGTGTAGTGGGTTGTATGGCACAGTCCGATCAGCAGCCTTTGTTTGAGGATTTGATGGCTGATTTGGTGCGACACTCTGCGAGATTTGGAAATCTTGGGACGGTATTGAAAATCATGAGAAATTGCTGGAAGTTGCAAGAAACTGAAAGTGCAGATTGCAGGATTACGATGGTTAAAACGGGTATATGTGTGATATTAATTTAGCAGTATGTTTGAGTGATGTATGTATAATACTTTTCCTTTCCCCTGGGTTAATAATGCCATTTCAAGTCTTTGAGCTCTATTGAGCTTCTATAGTTCGGCAATTAACATCCGCCTCATGAGCCGTGCCAAGGGGTGGCTGTGCTGCCAAGTGGCTCGCCTAGATAGTGGCTGGTAGCATCAATTTCGTTCGGATTTTGGCAATTTAGGCCTATGGGCAATTCAGGGCTCACATATAAGGCTATCTCAATGAAACCGGATCTATGAAATTCATTTCAGTGCCTAATGATGTGCACTACATATGACTCCGCACGAGAAAGCCTGGTTTCCACCCAGCCAGTCACGGTAGAACATCTCTACATTCAACAACCTAAACCAATACCCACATGGACCATCACACCTGTCAAAGAAACTGCCGCCGCTGAAACAGCCCACTTCATCAAATGTGCCCGCCGCAAGCTTTTCCCCATGCTCGAAGGATCCCCATCCCCACGGGACCTAACGCAATTCAGCGAAGCTTATATCACAGGCGATGGCCACTTTCTCGTCGCCCACAACAACAGCCAATTGATAGCCGGCATCGGATACCTGCCGTACGATCACCGTTTTCCTCAATTTAATTTCTATGGTCGTAAGACAGTCGAAATCGTACGACTGTTCGTCACCCCCGCATATCGTCGCTATGGTCTAGCGGCGGAAATGTTCGCAGCCCTGCGTAGGCATGCAATTGATGAAGGCATTGACTGTCTTTACCTGCATACCCATCCTTTCCTGCCGGGGGCGATTCACTTCTGGCAGAGGCAGGGTTTCACCATTCTGGATATCGAAAGTGATCCGGTTTGGCAGACCACGCATATGCAACTTGTCTTGGGGGAGGCGTCTGGCTGATGGAAAAGAGTTCGATGCTCTATATGGAGTACTTTAGGTACGGATGACTCTTGTACATATTTTTTATGATTCTCTTTGCCCTGTTGGAATTTTTCAATGGGAACTGTACAAAATACTATCAATCATATCCACACAAAAGAGGGTTGACTCCACAGAAGTGCTGCGAATCTTTGGTTCGGAGGTTTTCCGTACAGAGTAGATCAGATCTAGATGATGAATGCAAGATGAAGGTCCGATCTCCCCGAAAGTGCCTTTTTCAAGAACCCTGATGGTGTACATTCGTAGTCTTGCAGGCTTGTTCAAGCAATAGTTGCCGATCTCCGTGCTTGTGGAGCCTAAAGGCACGATCGGACCGAATTCGATTCGTCGAAATGACGATGTTCTCAATTTTATTCACGATTAGTTCGAGATACATGATATGATCATCGCCCAGGGCCACTTTAAGTCCATCACAAACCGATTGATTCCGGGAAACCGAAGACCCCCTTTTTTTCAGCAATAAATTGGCCTCAAAGAGCCCGAAATTTCATTCAGTGAACATTTACTCAACAGCCCGACTCAACGCCATTAACAAGTAAAGATAAATCCTTTGAATCTACTCCATATTCACCATGCAATTGAAAAACCTCCTCGTGGCCGCCTGCATGGCCCTGCCCGCCCTGGCCGAGTCCACCAACAGCACCGATATCGCGCCTAAGCTCCAAACCCGTCTGGCCCAGATTGACATCGGCTACAAGACCACCTACCTCAGCCTCAACCAGGCAGTGAGTGGCAACGGCAACGCCACCATCGATGTATAACTCCTGCATATAATCAACTTAAACAGCTCAAGGCACTAACAATCATCTTAGGATGTCATTTCTACATACAAGAAAACCGCTTCGACTGAAGACAGCGCCCTTGACAAGCACCAGCCCACCGCAGCTCTTCCTCACTCCTCTCAGCTGGTGCTCTGCCAGGCCTACCACTCTGTAAGTCCGATTCCGTTCCTGAACAAGAGCATCAAATTGATTATCTCTAGCTTGCCCTGAGTGGTATCGAACTCAACTCCGCCTTCATTGAGCACCTCGACTCCTTCAACAAGTCCCAGCGCCACAGCATTGAGTCTACCCTGTCCAAGGTCAGCTCTGAGACTTCACGTTTCTCTTCCCAGGTTGCCAGCAAGGCTCTGTCGTACTGCTATGACACCGTTCACTACGATGAGAAGATCATCAACAAGTCCCTCCAGGACGCTATGTCGGCGCTGGGTAACTAAGCGCAATCAATATAACTGGCAAAAAAAACAGCCTACGACCTCGGAGTGAATAGACGTGAGAAGCAAATAATAGAATACTAACTGTCTGTACACATTCATTGTGTAAATTTTATCAATCTCGTGGACGAACCTTCGAACAATGTATAGATCAAGCATAAATAATGTCAAAGCCAGTGAGACAACTTGCATCATATACAGATTATCTCCTTGTCAGTCCATGCGATAGGAGGAATATTCCAGAAATTTCTATTCCTCTTTTGTTGCTAATACCTAGCACCCACCTGGGCAATATGATCAAGTGTTACTTCTGTTTACCTTATGAATTATTACCTGGGACCTTGGAAATCTCGGCATACTTGATTAAGTGAAGTATCGTTTTTTTCAGATGCTAATGTGCTTGGATAAAAAGCCACACTCGTAAAAATGCCCTCTCGCCCTTAGAGCATGCTCATTTAGTTCGTTCTTCTTCTGAGGCCTCCTTGTCGGCGGGGATGCAAGTGTGTACAACGCTCAAATCTGTGGTCCCTTGCTCCGAGGTGAAATTTGTACGGGCCCCTCATTGCAAGAGCATCAATGCCATGATGCCAACTTCCCCCATATTGGGTAAGACGTCGTATTTCCACTTCCAGGCAGGAAGATCATGTCGATGGATTGGTGTCCCTCGAATCGAGTTTCGCGGTGCGCGCCCTTATTATCGACTCGGAACATTCTTCACTGGGAACCCAAGACGCGGAGGCTCGGCTTTCTTCCATCTGAATGCCTTTTCGTTCAGGGCCAAGGCGGCCATCCGCTTCCTTGAATCATTTTCGCTCTTCTCTTGTTGGGTCTGTGCATCAACAATGGCAACGTCTTTAACCACCAGCACCAAGGCCTTGGGCCTTGGGGGGGGGGGGGGTGACCAGCCGGTGGTCAATTCCGGCGGTCGTAAGAGAGTCCGAGACCATTGGCATCAGGTGGCCTTTGAAGCCTGTGTTCCCTCTGTGTGGGCTTCAGGTTTCCATTCATTATTCCGTTGCACGTTTTGTACCGCCTTCCCCCGTCGTGAACATCGTGAAGAGCTCTTCCATATCCGTAGAAGCCCTGCCTCTGCCTTTTGTATGTTTCTTGACTCATGGCGACCCCTTTCCCTGGTATTGGTCAGCGAAGTGACAGATAAAAGGAGTGATTGAAACAAGGTCGGGGTGAAAAGAAGAGTTGAATTGAGAGAAAGGACGGGAAAGGCTCACAGTGGGATGAAGGATACAACAACTCGCTCGCCACACTTGTTCAATCCGCTTCTGAGCCAACAGGCGAAGGGGGCAAGGCGGACAGAACAAACCCATTTTCTGGCGCTCCGAGAGAGAAGAGAGAGGAAAGGAGAGAGAGTGGAAGAGAGCGAGCTAGCTGTATATAGAAGGGCAAACAGCAAACGGGGCTTGGACGAACCACGCCTCTCAGCGGCTTCTCTTGGTCATCTAGTTCTGCTCCCACCTCTCTTGTGTAATGAAAAATGTCAAATCTAGAATCAAGTTTCAAAAAACAATGCTGTAACCCTTGGGTGGCGTGAAAGTGAGAAAGTGGCAAACTGGCACATCTAGTTTGTATTAGCCCTGAGCCCTAGTGTAGAGCTCCCCTGGCAGAATCCAACTTATTAGGCCCATATACTCACGTCTGATCCTCATTCAGAGACTAGCTGCAATTAAACAACGATCTTACCACTAGAGGAGTCATTGCGAAAGGAAAGCTCACCTTCATTCTTTTTCTCTTGAGTCACTCTTGCCCCTCACCTCCTGTGTGTCCCATTTACCGGGTCTGCAAATTGATTGGCACCAATCCCCATGCTTATTTAGACGTGACAAGCAAGACCAATGCGGACCACGGGCAAGATCAGCGGACATGCCCTGTACCAACTGTGGTCCTGATCCTGAGACACTACACGCTCCATCTATTCAACATTTTGGATCAGCCAACATCTCGACGGTCTTCGGGGCGCAGTTCAAGCGAGGTGGGGCCATGTTTGAACAGAATCAAGCTATTTTGAAGCACGCTAATTCTGCTTTCTGCTTGGCATCAAGGGAAGCTAAGCGGCATATGCCGAGATACCGGTCCATTCCCCTCCAGCTGAAACAGTTCGGCAACAATGCCCCTGTGCTAGCGCCTTCTCTGGCCGAGACCCACCCAAATACCGATGTCAGTAAGCCTCCGTGCAATTTACCAACTACAACTTCGGTCGAGATGTTCCATAATCCATCAGTAAGCGACGCGTCAACCATCAGCATTAGCGTCCCTTGCACTATATACCTCCGACTATGCCTAATCTGATAAAACTCCAGCGGGGCTAGGTCTGCAGGAGTTGGGATTGCCGAGTCACTCTATAAAACGCCCTTCTTGGCTCATTGCTTAGCATGTTGTGCCAGGTCGCTCTTTTTCTGTCACTCGCTTGATTTCGATTCTCATTCCTTTTTAGTATTTTTTTCTACTTCTTTTCTTACAAAATGCGCAGTGCACTTTTTCTTTCTCTTCTGCCCCTGGCTTTGGGCTGTGACAATCCTGCCAACGATGCCTGCGCCGCTGCGTATACTGCGTCTAGGTCTGCTGCCGATGCTTTCTGTGCCACTTTCACCACTGGCACAGTAACAGCTACCACAGACTTGCCTTCCTTTGCTTCGGCTTGTGATAACAACATAAAGCACCTCTCTAGTGCGTGTAGCTGTATCGATACAGCATGGGCGACCGCTGCTGCTGGTGAGGCTTCTTCCAATGAGCCTGCTACTACCAGCGAAGTTGCTACTAGTGTTTCTTTTGCGACCAGCGAAGTGATTCCTACTTCTTCTGCTGCAGTCACTAAGCCCACGACCCTCGTCAAGGTCACCCGGTCTGCCCAGGCGTCTGTCACTGCTGCACCTGTCGTCGCTGACTCTCAGGCTTCTGGAACCGGTACCACCTGTGTTGTGACTGCTTATGCCTCAATCTCATCCGCTGTCGAGTCTTGTACCAACATCGTGCTTTCCAATATCTCTGCTCCTCCTTCCAGCACGATCGACTTGCAGAGCCTTCAGACTGGTGCCACTGTTACCTTTGCGGGTACTACTGTAGGTTTTCTTGATCGAGTTCTGCTCGCAACATACTGATGTGTGATAGACTTTTGGCGACACCTTCGATGAGGACTTTGACCCGATTGTCATCTCCGGACATGACATTACCATTACTGGTGCTTCTGGTCATGTCATCGAGGGTAATGGCGAGGCTTATTGGGACGGTGAGGGATCGAACGGTGGACAGGACAAGTAAGTCTCTCAACCTTGCACCATATTCGACAACTCACATCTTTCAGGCCCGACCATTTCATCGTCCTCAAGAAGCTCTACAACTCCCAAGTTACCAACCTCAATATCAAGAACTGGCCTGTCCACTGCTTCTACATCAGCGGCGTGCAGCATCTGACTGTTTCCGGCCTCACTCTTGATAACTCCGATGGCGATGAGCCCAACTCTGCCAGTGGTGATGATCCAGCTGCCCACAACTCCGATGGCTTCGACATCTCTGGTAGTGACTACGTCACCCTGGAGAACATCGTTGTCTACAACCAAGATGACTGCGTTGCGGTCACCAGTGGCACCCAGATTGTGATTGACAACATCTATTGCTCTGGTGGCCACGGTCTGAGCATTGGCTCGATTGGAGGAAAGAGCAACAACACCGTCGACACAGTCACTTTCAAGAACTCCCAAATCGTTGACAGCGAGAATGGCTGCCGCATCAAGAGTAACTCTGACACTACTGGTAGTGTAAGTACATTAACACATTCCAAAATTATCCTCGGATTTCACTGGAACAGCGCTCATTTCTCTACAGGTCAGCAACATCACTTACCAAAACATCACCATGTCTGGTATCTCGGACTACGGTATCGACATCCAGCAGGATTACCTCAACGGTGGTCCGACTGGCGAGCCCACTAACGGAGTCAGTATCAGTGATGTCACCTTCATTGATGTGACCGGTACTTGCACCGACGATGCTTACAACTACTACATTCTCTGTGGTGACGACAGCTGCTCCGGGTTCACCTTCACCGACGTTTCCATCACCGGTGGTGGTGAGACAAGCAGCTGCAACTACCCTTCCAGCGGCTGCCCTTCCTAGGCGAGCCGATTCAACCTGGACTTGAAGATTTTTCATGTATATCAACATCTGTTCCTTGGAATGATGTATTCTTGTGCAGTCTTCATGCCTACTGTGTAAAATATTCTCAAGCTTTGCATATGTCATCAGGGAATTTGATTTTGTATCACTCTCTGTTCATACGAGGCCAACTTCTGACGCTTGACTCTCCATGTGTTCACTATATTCTTGGTAAAAGCAAAACCCCCCATAGCACCCACCAGTACAATCCCTCCAAGTGGTCCAAAAATTGCAAACAGAGTAAATCCATACGAAACATTCTGAAATGAAACACTACCACCCAAAACGGTAGTAGCCAATCCAACCTGCATCGCTGTCAACACCAACGCAACATAAACAGTCGCTACTGTCAATGGTGCAAGGTAATCATGGAATAACTCAGTGTAATTCTGGTACGTATATTGATAGCCACTCAAAAGACTTCCATGGATCGCATAAATGGTATTAAGTCGCGACAGCCTCAGCTTTCCGGACAGGTAACGCGAGTTAATATTTGCGGGATTGCAGACATCATTCTCCAGCAACTGGTGAACTAGATTAAGCCACATTTCCCAGGTGATAGTATCCGGAAGAAGCCTGTATTGCAGTGCGATTGCATAGTCGCTCTCGAACTGGATCAGTGCCATGTACGAGCATAGGAAGCCGAGGGCACATTTCTTGATTTCTTTGGGGCAACCTCCGGATGTTGGAATTGTGTCCTTGCGTGACGCGCAGCAAGACTTTTTGCAGATCAAATGGGTTTCCCAGAATTGGGGGTCGAGTAGATATCGGGGAATTGGCTTGAGGTGGAGTTGTCGGGGTTCTTCCCACACCATGTGCATGTCGATCCTCTCGTCCACGGCAATGAGGCGTGAAGTTGCAATTTGGTAATTCAGGGGCTTTGGTGGCGTTGGTGCGCCGGCTAGCCATAGATATTGATCAATGTGGTTGAGTTTCTCGACACCTAGGTCTTTTTTCAGGAATTTTTGGATGTCTTTCGAGGGGTTGACTAGTGTCTGATCTGATGTCCATACCGAGGCGGGGAGTAGTCGCACATTTTCCGGTATGCTATTCTCCAAGGCTTGCGAGTTGAACGGAAGATGCGACATTGTCTCTTTTCGAGGAGTTTCCGAGGTCATCAGGGGATACGAGTTCTCAAAAGCTAAAAGGGTCTCAATGCTGACAGTTACTCGCCTTGGCAATTCTGCGCTAACTCACGCAAAGTAGAGTTCCTAAGGGTTTGGGATCATTATATGAAAATTACTACTTAAGTAGCATTCTAAACATTTTACTCCTTTTGGTTGTGCTCTCAAGTCAATTATAGTCACTTTGCAGTCCAACCCCGACCGAAACAAATAGCGATAGAACCACAAGATATAATGAATAAGAGTTTTAGTGGGAATTTGTACATAATTCAAGACAAAGTAAACACCACCAGAACCTTGGAGATATGTAGAATTAGATCAACTCCCGCGGTCAAATTTACTCTTTATTTGGAAACAGTGCATGAGGGTATAGAATGTAATTCTGCAAGCTATGACATCAACCAGGGCGTGTGACTCAGTGGTAGAGTGTTCGCTTTGCATGAATTCGTCTTCAAAAGCTTGCGAAAAGTCCGGTGTTCGATCCACCGCTCGTCCATTTCTTTTTTTGTTTTTTTACCAAATCAACCATATTACCTTCTGGACAACAACATTCTTTTTAAACATTCTCTGTAAAGCAGCCACTGTAATTAAATTTGTTTGTCAGATGGAGAAGATCTGTCTAGATGTTCCAGCAATGGTTGTGAAACTGGACACCCGGGCAATGTTTCTAAAGTTCTAGCTGTAAAAGGGGCTGGATATTAGTGCAACTACCAGAGACTCTGGCTTTCCCCAATCATGCGATCGCATAGGGGTGTCTTTTTTTTTAGTTTTCAATGATGCTCAAGTGTCACAACGTTGGAAAATATTTTTTGGCGCTAAAGTTCAACAATTTCTTCTAAAGTCGTGTCTTTCCGAAGTTGCCGAACTATATATATTGACCTCTGCACAGTTCCAGCAACATCTGTAGATCCAACCAGCAGGCTCCGCAGAAATTCAAGAGTACCTCAACGTAAATCCGCCCATACACCGACAAAAATTCACTTGATGGTTGAGCCCCACCTAGGCAGGGCTGTTACTCAATCCTTCCCACGTTGTGCTTCAGCCCACAGACCGAAGAGCTTCAAGCGAATGCCGGTTATCCTTGCGGACAGGCGATAAAATGATAGATGGATGGAACACATTCATCGCAACCATAGCAAAAAACATCAGCGTCGAGTCAAAGACATACATAAAAGCCTCATGGCTAATCAAATAACCATCATTGCCTTGAGCGTATTCGATCAGTCGGAAAACCGATCGTATCAGAATCAAGATGCTGGCAATATACAGGCCCCACAGCACAGACTCCCAGCTGCGACTGATACCCAGACCATGGGAATCTCTTACTTCAGTGGGGTGAATGGTAGCTCTTTGGCGCATGCGTCGGTGGAAGATGATCGATGTGATGACGAAAAATGTGAAGAATACTAGTTGCACACACAGACCGCCTATCGTTATGTGTTCTCCTGTTTTCATTGCGCTGATTGTGCCGCTTGCCATAATTCCGCCTCCTATCGAACGATTTATAAGTATACCATTCGATTGAAGGAGTGATGGGCACCCTGGAAAGAGCAGTTTGACATACCTGCTGCCTGCATTATGAATGCAATCACATCACCCGTCACGAAGATGCCTGTCATCCATTTCAATGGAACTATACTCGAGCTTTCAGCGCCAAGGTGTACAATCAATCTTCCAAGGACCATGTAGATTGACGCAGCATATAGAGGAGGGGCGAGTAGGATAAGGATGGTTTGGATCGAGTAGATGGGCACACTTTCAGTGTCGGAGTGCGCTTTAGCCCGTGCAATGTATCCGATAATTTGAACTGAAAGGTGTTTAAAGTTGTGGTCAGCTGAGTGTGACTCGGGCCTGGATTTGGATATGATGGAGGACTCACAGATACCTCCCAAGACGAAGGCAATAAAATACCAGGCGCGGCTTTTCACGAGCTGATAGATATGGTAGGCTGTCGTAAAAACGAACAAGACAATGAATATAACAGCGGCAGGTAAAGAGGGCGTATAACGGTAGAGTTGAAAATCAATGTGCCCTTCGGAATCGCTCATTTTGAAGTTTGTGAAGTATCAAGAACAGCGCGATGTCGATGCCGATCTACAGTGAATGTTATTGCAAAGAGGCAATTGAAAGTTTGAAAGCAGATGAAGAGCTTTTCACAGAAATCGGGCGAGGAGACCTTTAATAGCCGATTACTGCCAACATGCTGGCTTCCATGCTGAGGCCTGGTATTCTGAGAGATAGTGGGTCTGACCAGGCGCGTGATGTGGGGCTCCCCGAGTTGTACCAGGGGTCAGTTCGGCCATTTAGGCTTAGTGTACGTCTATACGAAAGCCAATGAAATCTAGCGTTGCTCTGTATGTGGGACCACTTCATCAGAATTCCTACAAAATTGCTGACCTGTAGTGTGGAGCCGTGCGATAATCCAGGGCTATGTTTGATCCCCGGAAGAATCTATAGATACTGTGAGCTCTTCTGGCGAGCCAGGAGATTGAGCGAGGACGGATTCGTTTAGAGTGGAGGGACAACACGAAGGGAAGACAAATGAAAGGCCTCCGTTGTATACTAGATAAACAGAACCACTCGGGACTAAATCAGAGGGAATTGGCGAGATGTCGGGAGAAGGTCAATCAACCAAGCCACAAAGCTCCCTTGGCCAACTAATCCATGCCTGAAATTCCAGAGGCAAAAGCTCTTTAATCTCGGCAAGGATAGATCTATACCAACCGTTCAAAAACCAGTAACCGTCAAGCTGATACAGGATCACACAGTAATGCGCCAAAAAGACCAATGAGAGAGGTGTCCGTTGCGTGAACCGGCTCATGAAACCTCGTTGCAGCATGATTGGCCATACGAAGGCTGCACCAGCCTCCAATGGCTTGCTGGCGACATCCATGAAATTGAAGGATGTCTTCAGCTTTGCCAAGGCGTCGAGATACTCATTCAACTCCGAAGATTCAAACTTTTGATTCGTGATGAGACGCTGCAGTTCGAAGAACTGCGGTTCCCTGGAGGGGCTGGTGTCATGTTGACTTTGCCTCATATTAGTTATTTGTCCTAAAGTAGAGTGTATCTTGAATGTTCTTACCTTGATGGATCCCCAACGAGAGAGTAATCCTTATGAAGTAAGGAGCTCAAGGTGCTCTGATGGACCTCACCACGATACGGTGCAAGAATCGTCTCCACTCCTCGGCACATGCTGAAGATATTCATGATCATTTTGATTTGCGGCGAATCTTTTTCCATTGGCTGTGAGACCAAAGCAGATTGTGCGCAGACATAGATAACCATAAGAGAAGAGGCACCAAATAATGGTACACAGTTCTCTATTGATATATTGGCAAGCTGTTCCCTGAAGAGAGCAATGAACTTGTGCAGGTGATAGGTACTCAAATTCGTATAGTCATACCGCAAGTCGTGGTTCAACCAGCCCGAGTGTAATGCTGATATTGCAAGCAAACCATGCATGAGGTAGCTGCATGAATAGGCATGCTTTGGGAGTGCGATAGCCCACACATCCTGTATGTCACTGCGACAGGAGAATGTCTTGGCTACCGATGTGCAGTAGTGATGCATAAGCTCAAGGTCTCGAGCTTCAAAATCGCATCTTCTAGCCGTTGTTGACGGCGATGATCCAGCCAGTGACTCCATGGCTCCAATGACTGATTTGGAGGCTATTTGATTTGCATTACTGAAGGATTTTCCTGGTTCAGTAGGACTTCGTCGCTGGGGTGCTAAGTCTGTGCGAAAGATGCAGTCGGTCTGGTACTTGAGACAATTGTGACAAGGATACTGCTCATTACACTACCGGAAGATATTAGTGAGATCAGATCCAACACATCACAGGGAATGGGAAGTTAGAAACTTTCACTCTGCGCCTTTTGCATTCCATGCAGCCGTTGCGCGACTTTCGGTGAGGTTTTCGCAGTGACATGGTGATTTGGCTCCGTGGCTGGATAATCAGTTGAAGAGCTCAGGTCTCACTTCCGTAGCATAACCTCGAGACAATCATTGAACATGAATTGATTGAGCATATGCAGTACCTCGGGGTCTGGCAAGCTCCCCTTTTTTCATAATACAACGTTGGAAGGTTGACAAGGCTATGACTAATCCTGCCACTTTTCCAGTTGACGCGGGGAGATGCAGAAACAAGGATTCAATTAAGTCGAAATGCTTCACAACGCGAGGTAGTGACAGATCCAGCCAAATTTAGTGGACGCGCCACCAAAACCGAATCCCCGTCCCTTCGAATTTATCCACTTCATCTAGTAGCTACGCCTCAAACACCACATCAAACGCCAAAATCGTCACAACCTGCATAACATCACATTTAGATACTGTGACTACCATCAAAATGTCCAAAAAGTCGCCCCCAAAGGATCTGCCAGTACACTCCTTCTCCAGCGCCAACGAACTGGAGTCATTTCTCGAGCGCGAGCACACAAAACTAAAAGGCTTCCACCTAAAACTTGCAAAGAAATCATCCGGAATCCCTTCAGTCACCGCAGCAGAAGCCGTTGAACTTGCATTATGCTTTGGCTGGATTGACGGTCGCGCCAATGCTTACGATAAAGACTGGTGGCTTGTACGTTACACCCCACGCCGGGCGAAGAGTATTTGGTCGCAGAAGAATGTATCAACGGTCGGGCGACTACTAGAATCAAAGCGAATGCGCCCAGCAGGACTGGCAGCCGTGGAAGCCGCGAAGGCTGATGGCCGTTGGGAACGTGCTTACGCTGGCCCCGCTACCATGGCCGTTCCTGACGATCTCGTGGCTGCCCTTAGCACAGAGCCAGCAGCTGCGTCCTTTTTTGAGAGTTTGAGCAAGAGCGATCGGTATTCTGTGTTGTGGCGTCTGCAAACGGGTTCTCCAAGGACTCGCAATACCCGGATCGAGTCATTGGTGCGAACATTGGCTAAAGGTAAATGACCGGCTGGTCCAGCGGTATTGGCAACCAGTCAAGATGGCCCTGTGTTAGACGTCGGGTCACGTGACCGGCCTGCACCTAGTATATCTCTCCCCACATCTCTGCCCTCTCTCTTTCTTCTTCCTTCCTCACGCATCAAGAGATATTCATTCATGATCTCCCTTCTGTAGATCTCTCTTTCTATCACCCTGGAACGTGTTACGCGGTTCTACCGCAATGCATACTTGAGGTACAAGCGTGACCAAAGACATCTTGTCTATTGGATTGTCAATACCTCAGCTGGAATCATTCACAACTTGCCGTCTGAAGCTTCTACAGCCATCAACACCACTGGAGTAGTGTCCTTGGCCACCCTCCAGTCTTTTCTACTACAAATCTGATGAGAGCAAGAATGGGAGACAAAACGCGCTCTATCGGAGATGTTGCATTCGACTTGAGCTAGACCTTGCCTTATACCACCTACCGCGTGCCCTCATACACCTGCCTCGACGCCCCGGCGGCTCTGATCAACAAATCTGGGCCGCAACTGAAGAGACACGATTTTGGATCAAAATGGATGACGATTTAGGCGCTTCTGAGACTGCGATGGGTATCATCGCTTTCCTCCACGAGCGATACTTCCCTCGACTGGCCTGGGCGGGATTGACTCGTAGCCCGGCGAAGAGGGCATTCTTTGTGGACGGGGCAAAAATCCCGGAACATTGACCATTTGGTGAGGCGCAGGAAAAAAGAAAGAGAGAGAGGCAAAGACAGTTGGATCTATCTACAGAGCAAGCGGTCATCTGACCCCGGCAATCCAACGGGCTCTACCGATCTTGTCTACTACAGATCATTCTCGACTGGTCGCAGTTTGTGAACCCGGTATCTGGACGGCGCGCAACAATCTCGGCGCAGGAGGAAATTCGAAAGTTCGTTACACGTCAATATCTTGAAGCCTACAGGCAAAGAAGAGAAAGTGGACGGAATGAATTGATTCTATTGCAAAGAGAGAGGAAAGAGAGAGGAAAGAGAGAGGAAAGAGAGAGGAAAGAGAGAGGAAAGAGAGAGGAAAGAGAGAGGAAAGAGAGAGGAAAGAGAGAGGAAAGAGAGAGGAAAGAGAGAGGAAAGAGAGAGGAAAGAGAGAGGAAAGAGAGAGGAAAGAGAGAGGAAAGAGAGACCAAAGAGAGAGAGAGAAGGAAGAAGAGAGAGCGAGAGATCTGTCTTCTCCTGCCTGAAGTCCTACTCTCTCTGAGACTACGACTCCATCTCACCTTTTACCTCGCTGTCGCCGCACACCTTGTCTTCCTTGAGTCTACAAGGTTGGAACGAACCCCCATATCATATAAAACTCCGAAAATTCACTGCTCACATGCTTTCTAGCCATTCCTGAACAATGCTGTCAATACCCTGACATATGGTCTTGTGTCAATCAGTTTTCTCCGACTGACGGAGTCACAAACAAGATTACTGCGAAATGGACGCTGTTCATCAGAGCCGCGTTCTATACTCGTAAGTTGTACTAGACGGGATTTCACTTGGACTGTCAGTGGATTAGTATAATCAGATGGCTAACTTTGTTCCAGGACGTGGACCAAACCGAATTGAAGTTCCTCGGAGATATGCGGCCTGCCAAGAGGTTCCTATACTTCCGCTTCATCATCACATACATACACTGCAAGAAGCAAAGGAACCTCGACCTGGTGTCGCTGAGAGAATCGACCTGTCCGGCCTTTGATTTTAGACCCTAGTGCACCAGCTTCCATATCACCTGTTTGCTATGTTTGCATACTGCTCCCACTTAGGTAGTCAACTCTAGTAGCTAGATCTCTCTCTCTCTTCTCAACCCAATACACTACGCTCAAGCAGTGCTCTGATCTTAGTAGCCCTTCCCTGCTGAAAATCATCCTGTGTCGGAATCGAGAATATATGTCGGACGCGACTGTCAGACTCTGTCCCAGTTGATGATAGCAATCCTGACCGAAGATGGAACTAAATGCCGTTTTGTACGCATGCTCCTTGGCTAGCGGGATGACCCAATACCCATTTGCAGGACTAGCCTTGAAATACACTATCCATCTCTTCTGGCCAAATAGATTAACAATGGACTCAAAACCGATTTCCTCGTATCAAGTATTACTTTTCTGACTACGTGTCATGCAACTAGTACTAGGTAATCTCGTGATCTGCTCTTCAATTCTCTCAGCGACTGCACTAAGGGTCTAATTGACAATGGCCTCCAATCAACAACCAATCAATCCGATGCCATCCTGAATCTCAGATGTCCACAACCAGATCTCCATCGAAACCCTTTGTACCATTTATCTCACACAAAAGCCAGCTTCGCTGATTGCTCAACACCATCTTGCCTGAGTCCTCGACGTAATTGACATTGTAATGAGTATGACCAAACGCCCACAGTCGAACCGACGGATTTGTCCAGCATTCCTGCGCAGAAAGATCGGTAGCAAAACGCTCCAAGACGGAGCTATGCGCGAGCCTTAGATAAACCCCCCTAGCATCCTGAGTGATAGGACTATGGTGCGTAAAGACCACTATTTTGCGATGCGGCTCCTCAGCAGAAATCCGCGAGACCTGTGAGTTCAACCAGGCAAGATCCGATCGCTGTGCGGCACAATGTTTTTCAACAATCCAATCGTAGATATCGTAGAAATCCTGGGGACTGCCGAACGTGGCCCAGGATCTGTTGCTTTTGCTCACATGCGTGAAAAGGGTGCATCCTAAGACAGTCACGTCTGACGAGATGTCGTATCGGTTTTGGTCGAGGAACACAAATGAACCTGTTTTTGGCTGTCCGCTCTGTCCTGATGCTGCGGATCGTTCGTTCACGGATGCAGCAAATCGATGGAGTTTTTGTTTGGTCTCAGACCATGTTGCAAGGTATGGTTCGCGGTTGCCGAGCACGAACAGAACGATGGCGAATTGACTCAGTTGAGCTTCGATGAAGGAGAAAAAGCCAGCGTCTTTGACAGCTCCGATATTACCCAGGAGGACCAAATAGGGTGCTTTGGGGGGTATTTTGAAGACATCATACATAGGTGCACCCCTGGGGCGTGGACTCTGGGGGCGTGGACTCTCAAGGCGCAGGTCAGACATTATTTGGATCTTCATGGCGACGGGATATCAGAAGCAAGAATGGTTGAGTGTAGGTAGCGCGGAAAAAGCGACATAAGAAAGCACCTGGGTAGAAGTAGAGAGGAAAGAGTTCGTTGAACTATGCGGCAGGAAGGGGCATGAGAGATACAGGGAAATGCGGATTTCAAACCCGCCAGTCATTTGATGTGAGGATTTGCTACCCTCATGTTTCCTTGTTTGTATGTGTTTCTGTGCTTCTACGCGTTTAATTCTACGCGTTTGTTTCCTTCTAGCTATTTATTTTTGCTTGTTCCATAGATCCATAGATCCTCTTCTCCCTTCTTCATCATTGATATCTTGGTTTTTTAGACCTTTATTCTCGAAGCTTTTGCGGATCTGAAAGATGGGGTGGGCATATCATTGGAACAACTACCGACACTTTATCTACTATCTCTACCTGGATTGCTAAATTTTCGAAACAGGGTATGTCTATCAACCCGTATGATGACGCCCTTGGACATGTTAGATATTTCTATAGTTGTACGTGCCAAGTGATCATCAGAAACAAGCCAGCGCTTACATATCTGCCATCAAATATCGACCGGGATTTTGAAACTTCAAGTAAGAAAGTTACTAAATGTACAAGGCTCTCGACGTTCCAGAACCCCGGGCTTCTGAAAACTTAACTGACAAGGGAACCCTGGGACTGAGTTATTCTGGGGTAAAGTAGTGGCCAATCAAAATGGCCGATCGCAATCACTGGTCCCACCATCTGTGGCGAGGGGTAATGTGGCGGTGCTGACTGTGGCGTAGCACAGCCCTCTATTTATCTAAGCGCCCAGACATGATCTCATAAGAGGACCCCTCCTTGGCTGTGGCCTGAAATAGATTGTTGTCTCTCCTCCCCCTCGTTATTTGATCAGATCTCAGATTCTTCATATCAGAGGCAGTTTCGCAAAGTCTTTCAACTTACTACGGAGTACATACTACCATCGAACACGACGTCATACCTACGTTGGCAGCAACTGAAGTCGCGAGTAACAGCAGGCTGATCGTGGCAACCAACACGATGTCGAGCGCAGCACACGACCCCCGTTTGCTTTACAGCGTCAACAATATTCGCGCATTCCACATCCAAGATGGCGAAGAACAAGACCTCACACCATCCGGCGCCCAGACCCTCTCACTGCTAATGGTCCCAACCAACACCGCCACTGCTGGTCCCGGCACCGACTCCCCCGAGGACTCAATTGAAGACGACTTCTACCTCCACCTATATCTTCCACCTGAGCTGGATATCGCAATCCCGGCAACTACTCAGATCTTCCACCAGCCCCCCAACAGCTATCTCATCCCCCGCTGGGACATGGGACCCGAGATCGGCGCTTTCATTCGTATTCAGTTCCCAAGCATCGGCTCAGGGTCTACCAATGTGTCGCAGGATGACGTTGATACGTTTGAATCCATCCTTGCTCAGTGTACCGCTTTCCATGAGCGGGATGCTCCAGCAACAGCAAAGGGCAAGGGACATGCCGCTTATAACCCGGGCGATTACGCACCGGGTGAGGGATATGTCGGATCATCAGACACGAAGAATGCAGACCCCCATGGAAGAATCGTCTTGGTGGATGAGGAAAACGGCAGCGTGGTTGGAGAGCTCGGTGACGGCTATAACGTGGTGGAGGATTCCGACGTGAAGCCCGGTTCTAAGAGTAAGTGCATCCACGATTCCTAATTCTAGTCCAGCAGCTGATATCCCACAGGACCTGTTGGTATCGAACTCCCCGCAGAAGGCGAAGGTAATCGCATCAATGTCAGCAATGTCTCGGAAGAATATCTCGCAATGGCCCGGCACCCGGCTTATAAAAACTCATCGCTCGTCCAAAGCTCTGCTACAGCATCGCGCCTGGTCGTGACTGGATCGACTTATCTAGCCAACATGCTCGCCACAGGCGCAGAGAGCTTCCAAAAGAGAACAAAGCCCAACCCCAAGCCCCTCACGTTCTCTGAGACCACGCATGCGCGCATTCGCAAGGTCGGCAACTTCTCCAATGGCGCTGCAGATCTGTCCGCGCGCACGGTCGGCCAAGTGGGTAAGGTTGCACAGAACCTCGGAGCTTCTTTGGCGCGTAAGCAAGAATCCGGCCGGCGCAAAGGCTTTGACAAGAGCAACCCGCCTCAAGATTATAAGCCTGGCGTGATGAACAAGTCAATGATTGCTTTCTCGACCTTGGCCGATGGTATCGAGCAAGGTGCCCGGAACATGTTATTTTCCGGCGCCAGTGCGGCCAGCTCTATGATTGACCACCGTTATGGCAATGAGGCTGGTACCGTCGCGTCCAATTTGACTGGTGGTATCAAAAATGTCGGTTTGGTGTACATTGATGCTACGGGTGTGAGTCGACGTGCGCTACTCAAATCCGTGGCTAAGGGTATGGTGGTTGGCAAAATGCGTGACGGCAAACAGGTCGTTGTTGGTGGTGGAGATGGGGGCCAAGTTCCTGCGAACGGCGCCTCGGCGTCGGGAGCGCGGGACCCTAGGTCCTCCAGCCCCACACCGCCTCCTGCATACGGCGCGTCGGGGACAATGTCCCTGCCAGGGGGTAAGCGTTAAACAAAAATCCCGGGGGCTGGGGCTCTGTGGAACGGGAATCTCGTATCTTCCATCTTTCACTGTCTCTTTTTTTCATTTCACTTGATATCTATCTTTCTTTTGATCAGCAGGAATTCCCCCCTTTTTGTTTCTTTGAAACCATTGACGCTTGAAGCTTAAAGACTTGAATAATTCTATTTTCGATACGGAGTAGTTAGACAATAAAGTTCCGACTGCATCCCATGCTTCTCTGCTTCAGGTACCCCGTACTCGTACTAGGATTTGGGTTTCGACTACTCCGGTGGCACGGCTGTGCAGGGCTCCAAGCTCAACGACACAGACCGTCTTTTCTAGCCCGAAGACCGGTTTTGAGGAGGTGAGGGTGAGTATCATGTAGGCAGCGGACAGGGCAGGGTATTGGACGGGATTGCTCATATGCGTTGCGGTCGATCTATCCGATATCGATTGGATGGGAGGGGAGATGGCGAGTATGCCAGCGCATCGCTTGACAGCTGTCTGCGGCCCACTATCCCTTGCCCAATGGGACTGAGGGTTTAATAGTGAGTGCTGTATTGGCGATCTAGGGCGAATGCACTATACTTGTACGCAGATTGGATTCCGGAGTACAACGTATACTTAAGTAACTCGAATGTAGTGTAGTAGTCAGGTCGGAAGGTACGGAGTGGGTACCTGGGATTAGTACTGATGAGAGCAGGTTTGGTCAGGTACATCACTCGTACACCGAGGTTGCACTACCAAGATCTGCTTAGATCGGGTCACCGTGGGTCTTTACGTTCTTCTTCTTGACTTTTTGTCTTTTTTTTCGTCTTTTTTTCCCCTCGTTCTTTGCCTTTTTCTGTTCAAAGGGTCCAATTATTTAATTTGTAGTACTCGTACATACTGCCATCTATACTGCAACGTTGCTGCACGCACTAATTGACATTGCAAGCTAGGGATCACTACTGCACACCATTTTCAACGACGATCCTGGAGTAATAAGATTTAAATCCATGTGAGTAAAAAATAGAATTTAGCAAAAGCAAGAGAGCTTGGGTGGCTAAAGATGACGATCGTCCGAGTGTCCACTATGAACACTCGAAACAGCCGGTGCAACCCCCTATTTTTTCACGCTAATTTTCTATGAAACCGGGCTCGAGCTATTGTTGTTCTTTTTTCCAAGGCTCCCTACATGTGAAGCCCTACTAGGCGCAAGGGATTGGACTATTATCTTTCAAATACTTCTAAACATTATACGATACCAAGTTGTATTATATGAAATGTGCACAAGAACTTGATACTTATAAGTATTAAAGATAAAAGAGCGAGTAATAGCAGTAGCAGTAATACTCGTAGTAGAGAGTCGAGCTTAGATACCCAATTAGATCGTAAGCCTAAGATGTAAACCTCTCAGACCCGCCCCCAGACTAAGAACCTGCTCGTATCTCTCTCCCTCCTCTTCTCCCTTCCCTCTCTATCGGTTTCCTCCTCTTTTCTTTCCTTTCTTTCTTTTCGTTTTTGGGGGTGATCTTGTATTCCCCTTTTCCAACGGGATCCCCGACCGGTGCTTCCCGTCTTTTTCCCCCCCTTGCCCGCCCCTCACCCTGTCTTCGACCATGTTCAACTGCTGTCGCAATTGAATCTGAGTTCGACTGGAACTTCAATCGTGTCTGAGACATCGCAGTCAGTTTTCATCCGAAAGCTCAGTCGTGGGTCTGGGAACTCTGGAGTGCAGCAGAGCAGGTATCTTTAGCTTTCTTTTCATTTCTCGGGGGAACTTTCGATCTTTCGACGCGTCTTTACCCCTGGTAAAGGTCGCGACGTGGTGTCTTAAGTCTATTTTCTGTTCTGTTCAACGGTTTCCGCGCGATTGGGTGGTAAGGAAGCTTCCCCCCATTCCTCCGATCTGATCTTGCCCCCCCATTCTTGGGCAAAACGGCACATTTTTCGTGATCTTTGCGATCGATAAGATCTTGGCGGTATTGACTAACACCTCATGTCTACAGATTGCGCGTTGAATCCTGATTTGGCGAGTGCGACCGGTCGCCCTAAGCCCGACTACCAATCTCACCCCGGGTGTTTGTGCTCGCGCCAATTGTACCAATCGCAGTCGATAACTGTCCTTTGTAAACAATTGCCAAATACCTGTCTCGGTCACACAGTCTCGAAAGGCTTTGCATCAAACTAGACGAAGGTACGCCGTCAGTCATCCGTGTGGCCTCGGAAGCACGCCATAGGGGGAATTGACTTACTAACATCTCTGCAGCCATTTCTGAGGCAGGCCCCGAACAGCTTCTCCGGCTATGAGCACTTCCCACCAGCCGGTTGTGCCACTTCCCGCCCATGCAACCACAGTATCGACCAGCACAGCCCAAAAGAATGCTCGCTCGGTCTACCCCGACATGCTAGGTTCACCCCCTGTCCCTCCCCCGAGGACCTCGTCAACACACCACAGCCGACGCAGCCCGAACGGAGAAAAGAGTAGTTCTCGACAAGGCAAGAGCAGGTCCGATCGAAAAGAAAACCGCTCTCGCACCCGCGAAGACCGAAATGGTCGATCAAGGCGGCAGCCCGAGGAGTCATCACGCGAACCACAACAATCGAGGACCGCACCGATCGCAGCCCCGGCACAATCGGAAGCAGATGGTGTCCCTGAAGGCGACTTAGTAAGAGAACCAAGTGCGGTCATCAGTTCGATGTTCGCCAGTGACCCCATTGTCGATCAAGAAAGAGAGCAGGTGCGACAAGCTGACGTGGAAAATGCCTCCTCGTCTGGTTTTGCGACTAATGACGGCACCGAAGAAGCTCGCGGACCTCGGAGTCGTCACGATTACGCCAATAATGGAAACGTGGTCAAACGCAAGGAAACCACTTTTGGCTCTTACATCCTCGGTCAAACTCTGGGAGAGGGAGAATTCGGAAAGGTCAAACTGGGCTGGAAGCGCGATGGCAGTATCCAGGTTGCTATCAAACTTATTCGAAGAGACACATTGGGACACAATCCGAGCAGGTTACCGAAGATTTACCGCGAAATCGCCATTCTACGCGAGCTAGCACACCCTAACATTGTGCGCCTTCACGAGATGGTCGAGACCGATCGCCATATTGGTATCATCATGGAATATGCATCTGGGGGCGAATTGTTCGACTACATCTTGAACAACCGGTACCTCAAGGATAACTCGGCGCGCCGGCTGTTTGCTCAGCTGGTTTCGGGAGTCGGATATCTTCACAAGAAGGGTATTGTGCATCGCGATCTCAAGCTGGAGAACTTGCTACTTGATCGGAACCGCAACATTATCATCACGGATTTCGGTTTCGCCAACACGTTCGACCCGGTTGACCCGCTTGACGAAGAGATCGAATACAACCTGACCAACAAGGAATATGTGAAGCGAAAGCGACTAGACAAGACTGGTCCTAATGGTTTACGGCGAGGAGACTTGATGCAGACAAGCTGTGGCAGTCCGTGTTATGCAGCTCCAGAGCTTGTTGTGAGCGATTCCCTGTACACGGGGCGGAAGGTGGATGTTTGGAGTTGTGGTGTGATTTTGGTATGTTCTACTACAACTGGACGTGATTTGCATTTATTGACCTGAATCTATAGTACGCTATGCTGGCTGGATATCTTCCTTTCGATGACGACCCTGCGAACCCGGACGGCGACAACATCAATCTTCTTTACAAATACATCGTCACCACCCCTCTCACATTCCCCGAATATGTTACACCCCACGCGCGTGATCTGTTGCGACGGATCCTTGTTCCCGATCCTCGGAAACGCGCAGACCTCTTCGAAGTTGCTCGACACAGCTGGTTGAGCGAATTCTCCAATATTGTGTCTCACATTACAAGCAGCACAACTAACGTCGTGGACATTGCCAACACAACGGTTTCGTCTGGGACACCAAAGGAAGCACCGCCTCTCGTCCGCAGTGCTTCTGTGCGTGAGCCACCAAAGACCGCGCAAAGTAATGTTCCAGCTGTCGGTGGCCTCAGCCATCACGCCGGAGACGTGTCACAAGATCCACCAACAGAGAAGTCCCGGACCCCCCGCGATGCCAAACGGAGAACAGTGCAAGTCGAGTATGTCGCGCCTCAGTCACAGACAACTCGCGGGGAACCTCCAGTGGAGAAACCGCCATCACGCAGCAGAATCCCCGTGCCTTCGGAGGCTCAAAATGCTGTTCCTACGCAGCAATATGCTGAAACAGCGCACAAACCTACGGAAGCTCCAGCACTCAACCTTAACAAACCACTACCAGGACACTTCCCGCGTTCCACCTCGGACAATGCAGCTCTCACTGGTACACAGTCGGCTGCGATTCCCCAAGGCACAAGACCAGCCACTGGTGGCTCTATGAATTCCTTCGGCAACACGGGTCGCCTGCCATCTCGCGGCTCTTACGGCCAGCCCGTGGCTCCTACTGTGACCGCAACCAATACCCAGGGTAGTTTGGCCCAACCTAAGAGCAGACAGTTTGCTCTGGCACAGGAGCCAATTCACGCATCTACTTCGACTGTCAGCCGCCCCAGTACTCAAAACCAACAATTGCCTCCTACTTTCAACACCACGCCTCGACAGGAGCCGCCGAAGGGCCACAAGAGGTCCAACACTGTGTCTAGCCTGAGCGACAAATTGTTCGGACGTTCTAGCTCGATTCTTGGTGGCCGCGGGACACAAACAAATGCCCCTCGGACGAAACAGGATAAGCGTTATCCCCCTGTCAGTATGAAGGAACCACTTGGAAGGGAAAACTCGAGGATGTCTGTGGATTCTCGTCGCTCCATGCAGACTCCTCACAACCGCAAAGCCAGCGAATCTGGCGCCGAAAACCGCCCTCGTCGATTCTCACTTTTGCCACAATCCTTCTCCTTCCGAGGATTCGGCACCACTCGGGCTCAGACTCCAGAAGAAGCCCCGCCAAGCCCTGGCCCTGTTGACCCCTATGGCCCACAACGCCCAGCGACAGGCCCTGCAAGTCCTGCGCAAGGTGAAAGCTATGGTCGTGCACGCGCGACAAGCTACAGTGCTCAGGAAGCCATGGGACCAGTCAGCGAGCGGGCTGGTGAGGATGATCGCCATCAAATTGAGCCACTCAGCTATGAGGCTCAAATCGATCAGCAGTTCGCTGATCTCGGAACTCAATTCGATCACCCGAACGATTCCTCCTTCGGTATACCCTCTGCTGAGCAGGTCTACCAAAACTCTGCGGATCAATACTCACACCACAATCAAAGTTACGGATCAAAACCCAGCTACTACGACGACTACAACTATGACAGTGCCCCTCGGCAGTCAACACAGGTTAGTCGGCCAAACCGTGGACCGGGAGTTTTACAAAAGAACCACCGCAAATTTGCCGACGCCTACGAGTACGAGCGTGACGGGTCTCACCACTCCGGTAGCTCTGGGGCAGCCCGCAAAGTCATGGACTTCTTCCGCAGACGTGCCAAGTCTAGGGCTGGCGATGACCGTTGATCTCTCAGTCCCATTGAAGTTACTTTCCCCCATCATCCGCAGGGACTGGCTGCGACTGGATCGATCAAGCTTGGCTTTGATCTAAGCAGATTCAACCCCTTCTACTCTATGCTTCTTTTGAGTTGCTTGAAAGAGCAGTGAGGCTGTTTGGATACCATGTGATACCCTGCTTTTGTCCCCTTGCATGGAGCGATAACTCTTCATCCATCGGGTGTTTGATTAATTATCTAGCATGTTCATTATTTCCTTTGTTTGAATACATTTCCTTGCTCCTAATGTCTTTTTGTCTTTTTTTTTTTTCCCTTGTCCCCGTTCTACACCCACATGTGATTTGCATTCTCTTCTCCTGTTACTATTATCTCTGGCTGTAAAGTGAGACCCCATGTTCCTCGGAGCATTTTATTATCCCCCCCATTTACTTCCCCATTATTTTCATAGCTTTTGTTCCTTTTATCGGGGACTTTGTCAACGATAATTCAATGTGACACTATTTTCATCCTGTGAATCATTCGCGTTGTTTAATACCCGTGACGTGTTGGCTTTGGTCTGGTGGCGGCTTATTGCGGATTCGCTTCTATTCTGTTGCTAGTTCTGCTTTACTTGCTAGGACTAATGTGTCAATACATTGATTTAATCCTTGGATGTCTTAACACTAGCCAATGCCCTTCAAAGCTTGGACTTTAGTAGATTGTCATGACAATGTAGTATACCCTTACTATGTATGCCTTCATATAATTTACAACTTCAAATGCTCAACATTGACCAAATCAGCCTCCTTCTTCAAGGCTTCAATCTCCGCTGCCGCAAAAGGAATTCCTTCTTTCCTCCGCTTCTCCTCGGTAAGAATCTCAATCTCCCCAGGGAAGTAGATCCGATCCACACCAGCCATCTTCTCGGACTCAACAACCCTCTGGTAGAGATAATCCATCCTCCCCTTAAACTCTTCAATAGTCATGAACAAATCCGGCTTAATAGCCACCAAAAAATGCCCAACATCCGCCGGTTTCGACGGATCATAAGGATTGGTAACATGTCCCGCAAAAGCAGACCCAGAAAGCACCCCCGAGAAAACATCCATCATAATCGACAACGCAGACCCCTTCGGCCCACCCATAGGCAACATAACACCCCCCAAAGCCTCAGCAGGATCATCGGTTCTAGCCCCCTCCGCATCAAGCGCCCAATCAGTCGGAATCCTCTCCCCCCTCCGCAAAGCCTTATAAATCTTCCCCCGCGCCGCAACAGAAGGCGCCATATCAAGAATAAAAGGCACATCCCCAGGTGCTCCACACGCAATTGGCGAAACACCCATCAACTTCTCCTTCCCTCCCCAAACAGGCAGTGCAGGCGAACTATTCGTAAAAACAAGTGACATCATCCCAGCCTCCAATGCCTGCTGCACTATCCAAGCAGACATCCCAAAATGATTCGAATGCTTAATCGAGACCATCCCGATCCCGAATATCTGCGCCATTTCAATGGCTCGCGCCATGCCTGTACGCGCGGCTACAAAGCCAAACCCATTGTGCGCATCGATCTGCGCTACTGCTGGCGTTACTTGGGTGATGCTTGGTGTGGCACTGGGATCAAGGGCTTTTTGTCGGATTCGCTCCATGTATGAGGGGATTCGGTTGCTGCCGTGTGTGTCCACGCCACGGAGATCGGCGGCAACTAGGCATTTGGAGACTATTGCTGCGTGGGCGGCTGAGGTGCCGTTTGCAATGAGGATTCTTTCGACGAAGTCTTGGAGATGTGTGTGTTGAATGTTGTGCATTTCTGGCTTTTGGTCTGTCATTTTGATGAGTGTCCAGGTTATTGGGATTATGTTCAGTGGTGAGAGTTTGGGGTTGCTGGCTTTTATAGATGTGCGGGACGGATCGATGCCGCGCCGACTGTCGGAAGGCTCCCGTCTGTGTCTCCGCAATCAATTGACATGTACGAGTAGTCCTTTGGGGTGGATTTGATCTTCATGACGGTTGTCAAGTTATCGGAATGTCCCCGGTCTGATTATTTCGATGCCTATGCTGAACAGTGTCTACAGGGCTATGAATATTGCAGTGGAGTATATCATCTACTGGTACGGGGTAGCATATCCTACTAAGTAGTCCATCCCCAACTCATTCCACATGACCATTGTTTATTATCAGAAGCAGTATTCATCCAATTGAAGAAGACCCTCAAGGCCATGATGTCGCATTAAAATTAAACAAGCATTACCATCCTTGCTATTGCTATAGTCAATTCGACGAAACGGGTTAGACCCGTAGTTTATGCAAACAGTGCAAACTCAATGCGGGCAAAATTTTGGAAAGCTTCACTGCAACATTGAAGCCTCACTTTCCAATTCTTCAAAATGGAAGAGAATACAAAGGCTCAAGTGCCAGAGGCCACTGCCCCTGCGCCTGATGTGGATGTCCCCAAGCGCGACGCTGATGCCGCCATGAGCGAGCCTCCAGCCAAGAAAGCACGAGTGGAGGAACCTACCGAGTCCATCGCTCAAGATATGCGTGACAGAGGCATTGCGCCAGTCAAGGCCGAGTATGTCACTCCAACAATCTCAGAGACCAATCAAGCTGACTTGTCAAGATACCGCATCGAGACCGCCCCCAGGCCCCGCCCTACAACTACAACCGAGACGAGTCCCGACGATGCGGCCGAGGCTGCGCCTCGTGATGGTCGCGATGCCCGTGATGGTCGCGATGCCCGTGACGGTAGCGATGCCCGCGATGGTGGTGGCCAAAGGGAAAAGAAGAAGAAGAAGAAGGGTCAAAACACTAACCGCAGCTATGGCAAGTCCGACGATGCCAAGGGCCTGTGCAGCACGAGAATGTTTGCCAACGAGTTCTCTGCTGGTGAATGTCAATTTGGCGTGAGTTGCCGATTTGAGCACGATCTGCGTGTTTACCTGAAAGAGCACAAGCGCGAAGATATCCACACTTTCAATGACCTCTGCCCTGTCTACGAAGCACTGGGTAAGTGCTCTGCCGGTTGGAAGTGTCGCATGGTCGGCTCCCACTCGACCGAGAGAGAAACCGAGGATGGCAAGAAGGAATTGATCTTGCTGGAGAATGCTGAGCGCATGGAGGCAGCCCGACCTCGTCTTGCTCATGCGACCCCCGAACGAAATGTCAACATCATTGCTACTGCGGATAGAGTGTCGCTCACGAGAAAGAAGGAGAAGACACCTAGAGCTGATGCCTATACTACCTGGGCCAACCAGGTGTCTGCGGAACTGGAGAAGGCGATTCATCAGCGGTCTACAGTTCGCGAGAATGGTGAGGTTGTTGAGCCAGCTGAAGCTGCAAAGATCGACCTCGAGGAAAACCGTGCTCAGTTCCTCGAGCCTCCTTTCATGCCCTCTGAGAAGAGACGCATTTACTTCGGACCAGAGACTCCTGTTCTGGCACCTCTGACCACTCAAGGTAACATGCCGTTCCGAAGACTTTGCGGAGATCTCGGTGCGCAATTCAGCTACTCAGAGATGGCAATGAGTATGCCTTTGATCCAGGGTACCAAGTCGGAATGGACCTTGTTGAAGGCCCACGAGTCTGAAATGGCTCCACCAAATGTTATCCAGGGAGACAACATTGTCCAAGGCTATGATAACTCGAAGGATTCCCGCTTCGGTGCCCAAATCGCTGCCAACAAGCCGTGGCAAGCTCTCAAGGCCACCGAGGTGCTGTCAAAGTTCACTCCCAACTTGCGTGTGATTGATTTGAACTGCGGTTGTCCCATCGAGCTTGTATTCCGCGAGGGTGCTGGTTCAGCTCTTCTGGACCACCACTCGAAGTTGGAGAAGATGATCCGTGGTATGAACGCTGTGTCGCAAGAAATCCCAATCACCGTCAAGATCCGCATGGGAACCAAGGACAACCAGCCTACTGCTCAGAAATTGGTCGAGCGTATGGTCCTAGGTGGATACGAGTCTAATGTTCTCAACCTTGGACCCCCCGGTGCTGCAGCTATCACTCTGCACGGACGTAGCAGACAGCAGCGCTACACTCGCCAAGCCGATTGGGGATACATTTCAGAGACAGCAGCTCTCATCAAGAGGCTCAACCAAAAGAAGGACTCGCTGACAGACACCATCCGCGAGCCGGATGAGCGCCACATGCCCAATGGTGGCAAGACCTACTTCCTCGGAAACGGTGACTGTTATTCTCACGTCGACTACGACGACCACGTCAACAACGGTGGTGTTGACTCTGTTATGGTTGCCCGTGGTGCCTTGATCAAGCCTTGGCTATTCGAAGAAATCCAGACTGGCCAGTACCTGGACAAGTCTGCGACTGAGCGTCTGGCCTACATCGAGAAGTTCGCCAAGTACGGTCTTGAGGCATGGGGATCCGATGAGCACGGTGTCGGAACAACTCGTCGCTTCTTGCTCGAATGGTTGAGCTTCGCTTACCGCTATGTCCCTATCGGACTTCTGGAGTATCTTCCCCCTAATATCCAGCACAGGCCCCCTGCTTGGCGCGGCCGCAACGAGTTGGAAACCCTCATGGGCAGCGGCAACTACAAGGATTGGATCAAGATCACGTAAGTTCACTCCTGGCCTCTTTGGTGTATTATTTTCTAACATTAACAACACAGTGAGATGTTCCTCGGTCCTGCTCACGAGAACTTCAAGTTCGAGCCTAAGCACAAGTCCAACTCTTACGATGCTGAGGCTGAGGGCTAAGCATGGCTTGAACATTCCACATTCCATAACTGTATATAAAAATCACGAAATGCATTACGCAAATTTACTAGGCGCTCAAAAACATGCACCCGCGAGTGCAAAGCAGGGAGGTTTGAAAATGAAAATATTACTGCACTTTATTGGCGTTTAGGTCTTGGACCGAAAGTATCTGGCTGGATGTCTCTAGGTATGGATATGCCTTTTCCAGAGCCCTGTTGGGCCTGCTGAAGCTGGAGCATCGCCTTTAGTTTCTGTCGCCGTTGTTGGCCCGGTGCGGACCCTTGCGCTTCGGATCGACGTGTTTGGCACATTGGCAAGAGAGTGGGCTTGGGGATATAGTTGTGGATGTCATCCCGCTTGTCACTGAATCCCTCGAGCGTCAAGTTGAGATGCTGAAGCTCCACGGGGAAATCTGCCGCCAAGTAAAACGTCGTCATGTAGTTCCCGTTGTGGGTATGGGAGCCGGAAATCGCCTGGGGTTCGATTTTGCCCAGGGCCTCTTTGTACTATTATTATTAGGGAACGCGGCCTTGTTCTTCCGTGATGAGCTAGCAGGGGGGTCACTCATCATGTTACCATTTGCATCCACCCCAGTGTTTGGCACGTGTCCCATTTCGAGGCGAGCTCTTGTCTGGTTGAAGGCTTGGGAATTGAAGAAATAGGTCATGGGATCGAGTTTTTTCTGTTCGGGGGTCATGTTCGACAGGTTCAGCTTAATCTTTTCCATGTCTTCAGTGGAGGTTTTCTCCAGCATCTCGTTCGCCAGTCTCAACATATGATGGTAGTCTTGTGCCGAAAGGGAATTAAGATCGTTCGGTGTAGGGACGTCATTTGTCTGCAGGCCCTACAATATGAGCATTTGAAGAAAGTTATTGCTGTCTCGGAAGAGTTCAAGCAGTATCTGCGTGACAGATTTGGCCATGATGATGAAGAGCTTGTCCAACAGAGGCAGCTTCGGTAGATCATAGTATAATCAAGGTATAGCCAATACAATGGGTTTCTCTTCCTGTTTTTTTTTACTTGCCTGCTCTTGAGCTTTGAATGCAGTTGTATCTACTCCGTAGGTTCCAAGGGATCGATCTCCTGCGTTTACTGCTGTTAAAACGGAGTCAATCGAAAAGTGTAGGGAAATCATGGGGACGCCCACTAGAAACACAATTCACCCGACGCTTGAATTACCATTGAAGAAATTTTAGAAAAGGCCGGAAATTATCCCATGCTCCACGAGTGGTTGATGAAGACGAAGTAAACGAAGACACCGATTCTAGGGACGATGACATTGATGCTTTTGCAGATGTATTTTGGTTTTGAGGGAAGAAGACCTCAACATTGCCTCCCAGGCTTGGGCGATTGGTATACATTTCATCTATCTCACAACTTAATCAATCGTCAGCAACTTCTCAAAGAACCCACCGAACCCACGTTCCCGATCATGAAGATGAATTTCCAAAATCCAATGACGCCTAAACCCATCACGACCCACCAACCCCATCGAATCCTTATTTCCCTCAATAATATACAGCGCAATCCTATCCCTGGGAATCCTCTCATGAGGAAACAACCCAACAATATGCCCAGCAATATCAGCCCCAAAATCAAACCCCTCCTGCACCGCAATCCCACAAGCAATCCCATACAACTCCTCACCAGACATATCCGGATTTTCCCGAAACCGCGCCTTCACAAAATCCCATATCGGCTCCAGCGCATCCCGCAACATAAGCTTATGCGGATCATTTCCTAGAACGAAAGTACGGCCAAAGTCGGCTTCCCAGGCTTCGAAAACCGGTCCCAGATCCACGACTAGGATGTCGTCTTCTTCGATTATGCGGTCTGGGGGATTCTCAGCGAAGGGACTTAGGGTGTTTGGACCACTGCGGATGACTCGTTTGTGTCAGTGGGTTTTGATTCCGTATCTGTCTAGACCGAGTTGGTAAATTTCGGCATTGAGGGTCTTTTCTGTGATGCCGGGTCGGATGAGGGTGTTTTCGATTTCTTCGAAGAGGGCGATGGCTTTATCTTGAGCGTTTAAGAGTTGGGAGGCTCTTTCGATCTCTTCGGTGCTGAGGTTGGCCATGATTGCTCAGGTGGTGGAAGTCGGTAATATGTTTGAGATTATTGGTGTTCTCCAATTCTAAAGTTATTGGAAATACCCCTCATTTGCATGCGCATACTTACTAGCCTATTCTTCGGGAGGCTCTTACTTATATACTAGTCCGAATGGAGGAAATGAAACCGGTTCAGTTGTACTTAGCGTTATAGGGCTTGATATGCTTCTCCACATGTTTCGAGGGCATTCCCGATGTCTGAGCCTTGGAATACTGTGCTTCATTAGGCAGTGTGGAGTTAAACGTGGACATTGTAGTAGTTGATTGGCTGTTTTGTAGCACAGATCCACATTTCCCCAATACCAAGAGCCTCGGTGGCCGAGCATTTTGTTTCTTCTTTTCTTCTTCTTCCCTCTTTTCTCTTTGGGCCCAATTTAACGTATTGCTATTTTGTCTCATCTGTAATCATCTAGTAATGATCTACGCCACATGTCAAGAGTCTGGGCCTGATGCAAGGGGATTGTTATCAGCTTGGATCACTGAGATCTCTCGATGGCATCCATGGATTGATTGATGGACTTTTGCTTCTTGAAATGGAACGATAGAGAACCGTCAGAGATATAGATGTATAGTAAGACTTGAACTATTACCCCGTACTATATGCTAAGATCACAGTTTCTATCCCCTGAACCGAAAACACATAGATCGAATGTTGGCCTCAGGCACCAAGACAAGGTGACAGCATCACGTGTCGATCAGCTATGACGTCTTCCTCCGAACCTGGAAAAACTGCCGTGAGACCACCTCTTTCCCTACTTCACCCCTCTCAGCTCTCTGTCTCCAATTACCTCAACATCTGAAGCAATCACCTCTTGCTTTGGTTACTCCACGGTTGTGCTTCGTCAAAACCGCTACCTGTCGCCTGTGTTTACTTTGGCTATCTTCCCCGCCCCTTTTGATTAGGCCACTCGATCCCAACCTTTGAAGTCTCGCTGAGTTTCTAATCCTCGGCAAAATGACTCTCTACTACTCCCTCGTATGTGCATTGATACTCCCTCCAGGTGGTGCTGCTCTGTTGTCGGGTTTCTCGGCCGTGGATTGCTGCCTAGTGCTCCAAGCTCCCCGCGCAGCCCGAGTAGCCACGGATGCGATCAAATTCCGGCCCTATGGATAAACTGACAAAATGGCACCGTCTAGGTTTTCCTGCTCTTGGTGTTCGAGATGGCCGTTTTCCTGGCCCTCGTCATCCCCCTCCCCCACGTCATCAAGCGCAAGCTCTTTGCGTTCATCTCGGAGAGCCCCATCATCGCCAAGTTGCAGTATGGACTCAAGGTATGTATCGGGAATTTTCCGCAGTTTTTGTTCAAATTGCTCACTTCACTTTCAGATCACATTCATCTTCATTCTTATCCTCTTCATTGACTCTGTGAACCGCGTCTACCGTGTCCAGCAAGAGCTTGCCTCCTTCACCAAGGAAGGTCCCGGCATGGGGTAAGCTATGCAACCAATTGAACCGCGGACTGCAGCTAATAATTAATCTAGCGCCGCCCACCTTGGTACCGACCGCATGGAGGTCCAGGCCCGTAAGTTCTACTCGCAGCGCAACATGTACCTTTGTGGATTCACTCTCTTCCTCTCGCTCATTCTCAACCGCACCTACACCATGATCCTTGAGGTCCTCCGTCTCGAGGACCGCGTTCGTCTTCTCGACGGCGATAAGAAGGCCGGTGGCAAGGACTCCGCCCGCATCGCTGAGGCTGGCTCCGTCGGCGAGATCGGCCGTCTCAAGGAGATCATCGAGGCCAAGGACCGTGACATTGAGACTCTCAAGAAGCAGTGCGAGGGTCTGACCCGCGAGTACCACAGCCTGGGAGACAAGGTTTCCGCTGAGAAGGGCGACTTGAACGAGAAGGGTGACAAGAAGGACCTGTAGAGGGTTCGAATTGTTCACGATCGCCGAAATCAATATTTTCAATCTGGTCTCAGCGGATTCGCACAGTTCATGTCAGCGATCGCGTTTGACGTACCTTGCATACCTTTTACGTGGATTTAGGAACATTTGGTTACCGAGATCGCTTGTCGCACTCTGGACTCGACAATTTTGATGGGTATTTTATCATTCAATGTGCTAAATCTACTGTCAGGTAGATGACTGTCTGACGCAGGCAGTGAGGGCTTGCTGTAAGATATTTTAGGATCCTTCGACAGGATTCATGACCCTTGCTTCTGCGCCTGTCATATCCAATTACAATTTACATTTTTAGTATCTTGGACTACTTTCTAAATCACAAGAGCACTGATTGGTCATGAAAATCCATCATTATTCGTAAATAGTATACACATAAAAGCCGCCGAAGCCCTCAAACCAGGAACGTCCAGTAGCTAGGATAGACCAGTTCCTCTTCAAAGATGCGGCGAACCTGAGCGAGAACAAAACGCTCCACCTTCCCAACATTCTTCAGCACCTGCTTCCCGTCCTCCTTGCGGCCAATCTCACTATCAACCCGAATCTCCTGCAACAGCCCACCTTGTCGCTTCGGATCCTTCTCTTTCTGCTCTCCGGTTTTCGGCCTCCCATCCTCGCTCGGATTCTGACTACCCTGCGACTGCTCCGAGCCAAGCAAAGCGTCCGCATCTTCAGCAGACAGGAAACAAAAGTTTACCCGCTTCCGTATATACGCCACAACAGCTACCCCGTCAAACGTAATACCCGTCACGTTCAGTTTCAACGGCAGGCCCACGAAACTCGGCATTGGGTAATCGAGTAAGATCTCCGCCGTCAAAGACATCCGCACATCTCCGGCATATTTCGCATGACAAAGTACCTGGACATCCTCAGGTCGCCGTTCGCGCATGCGAGGTGGAATAGGAAATGACTGCTCAGCGGCGCCCGGAGATTCAGGCTTGACCTCGGCAGAGTCATTTTTATTAGATCCACCATGAGCCATAGAAGGATGAGACGGGATCGTATTGGCAGTCGACGGTCTCGAGGTGGAGTTATTAGTGTCCAGATCCGGCTCTAGACGCGCAGCATAAGGCAGATGAGGCCTTGGAGCCCCCATCCCCGAATCAGACCAGCCACTCGCGAATGGTGTCCCACCTGCCACAGCAGCAAGTGGTGTCTGGGCACCAGATAAACCACCCAGCGACCTCATATGATATCCAAGCGTTGAAGTCCCACCGGGAATCCCAGGCGTGCCTGCGCGAGGCAAGAAGTGTGGATTGAGATGATCGCCCAGTGGTGATCTTAGTGCTGAAGGCTGGAATCCTTCGCCGGGGTAGGGATGGTGGCTGAAATTGTGAGGGCTGTGGGGTGTATTGAACATGTCGTCTTCGTATGGGGACTCGTGAAGCTCGGACATGAGTTCGGAAGAGGTGACTGAGGTGTCGGAGTCGTCTTCGTCTTCTTCGTAGAAATCTGCGAAGGGTTCGCAGAAGTCTTTGATCTCGAGGTCTGGTCCTATGGTTCCGAAATCGAAGGAGTGCACTTGTACTGAGCGGATGAATCGGGGTAATGTTATCTCTTGGAACTTGTCGTGGACGAAGGAGCGGATTCGCTCGGCGAGAGCCTCGCCATCTGGGCCGGAGGTTGCGGCTGCCCAGTCGACTTCGATTGACATGGCAGGTTTAGTGCAATTGCTGCCAATGCTGTAGCAGAGAGAGAGGTTGATCCTTGGGAGGTTTGGAGCCTGCGATTGGGGCTTATCGCCACGTGATGTATGGATCAGACACGGACCATCTTTTATTTTGAACTCTCGATGCTGTTTAACAAGTCCGAAAAAGCAGTTATTGCCTCTATCTGCTCATTCTCTGGAATATGGATGAAAGCACAGAGGGCTATTGACATGCCAGAGAATGGTTTCAAGGTTGTATCTGATCGTGCAATGCACTGTAAACAGCAAATAGAGAGAAACTTGATATTATATAGTAATGAAAACAAATGCTAAATCTTTCAAGATGTACACACAAACGTTGAGATCGTGAACTATCGACAGTGCGATAGCTTCACACTAGAAACCACGGCGCGGAACAACCCGAAAATATATGTCATAACCCAGGCAGGACATTTTCAAGATCCAAGCCCCGGAGAGAAGCCCTGGCTGGATATCCTCCAAAGTCGTAGAATGTAAAAAGAAAAAAAAAAGAGTTCCTTCCAATTCGCAAAATGCAATGATAAATCCGCCTGTATTCAAACAAGCCCGCAAAAGGCAATGATCTGCCAACTAAGCGCATCCATGGATTGTTGGTCTGCGTTTCTCCACAACTTTAAGCCGTGCGGAGTATGCCTGGGTTTGGTGTCAGTATCCAAAGGTCAGAACATAGGTAAATCACACTCACGTGGTTTCAAGTTCTACCACCGTGGCGAGGGCACTGGAAGCCCTCTCTCCGACGGAATTGCTCCTTTACGCCTCCGCAGCTGCCTTGCTGTGCACAGGGAACGACACCATCTTCTTGCTGTTTGCAGCCACAGTCGTAGGTGAAGATGTAGATGGAACACATGTTTTAAATATAATTTGTGGAGGAGATAAATGCACGCAATTCAATGACGAGTTGAGGGCGAGAAGTCAAGTTTAGAAGAGGTAATTGAACACTGGGGATGGACTGTTGTGATTAGGATAAGGAGCAGGATCCATGACCTGCTTTATAGCATCGTATGTCGACATCGTGGAAGGGATTGACTGCGCAACTCAACAGACACAGCAAAAGAGGACCCCGTTGACAGAGTCCGAGAGAATCGGGCTCCCGATTCTCTACAAGCGCTGCAATTCATGCTTCGAGTGTGCCTTATGCAGGCAGTAACATGGTGATCACTTGTTGCGCAGTCAAATGAGGGTGATAGAGGACTCATAGGGATACACATGCGCCCTTCCTAGGGCATATATCTTTACCAACAGCACGTAAAGTTGGCTGTGAGTGGGCCACTAGAAGGCGACGTCCCCGGGTTATTGGAGATCAGTATTTGGCCAGCACAGGTTGGTCAAGGGCAAACTATTGACCCTGATGTAACCCTCTAGGCTGCAGAGGGCATCTGAGTAGACGAACCGCAGGCTATAGGGCTCAGTTGCTGGGCACCAACAGAACCCCCTCTCTGGGTGGGACCCCATAGGGCCCAACACTGCGGCTATGGCGTGGGTCAGGAACAAGGTTTGCTTCCCATGACAAACCTCGATGATCCTGATACCCTACTATTCCATTTCGCAGGCATCTGCCACAGCATGGAAGTAATCCCTGCGCTATATTGCGGGCGGCGCAGCAGCTGTAAGTAACGTGATGCGGCTGAAGAAACTAGAACATTTCTTTCTGCATACCACTGAGACCCAGGTGCGATATTATTTCGAGTTCAATCATTGCTTCGCGTGACTGTATGGAATTCCTGCTTTCTGGTGACGTCGTCAAATAAAGAACAACAGAAATTGACTATTGAAATTGGCTCCACAACCAACTGAAGCCCACGAAGCCTTCATGCCTCATTCGGAATAAACATTGTATGGTCTCCACGAGGTGAAGATTGATTGACACAATTCGACTGGTAGCCGTAGACGAATAAGGCTCCCAGGTATGGCGCAGTTGGTGATACTAGCCGCAAGTTCTGCGCGATTAAAATGAGGGCCTCTGCACTGTGACGACGCAATTAGACAGGTCAAAGTCGAATTGCGCAAAGATCAGATCGAAGAGCCTAAAGGCACTGCGAAGTGCCAAACTATGACATGATGTTGGCTGTGTGTGATAATTTTCAAGGAATGTTCTTTATTCGATCTAGCGCGATCATGCAGCGGGGGTGGTCGGACAAAAAAATCAATCAATCCCAGCCTATAGATTAATTCCAGGGGGCTAATGACTGGTGACAAGCACCAAGTTCCTCAGTGACGAGACAGTCGCGCTCATCTTGGGGAGGCCCCCTTGCTCAGCCGCCGGCCCACCGGGATACTTCCTCCGGGCGAGTAGAGACGCGCAAAGCTAGGGGCCATTAGGGGCGGCAAGCACAGCCAAAATCCATAGGTCCAGACCCGTCGATGTGTTGCCGCCGTTGGATTGCACAAACAGTATTTTCAACTGGACACTGGACCACTTTGTTATTGCCCTAACACGTGAGCACGACTTGACCTAGGTGATTACCCTCGCACCCCGTACTCTGTACGCATACTCGTACTTCGTGTTCCCACTGCAATTGAATTTGACAGGTCAGTTTGAAATGTTCGGATAGACGATCATCCGATCTCAATTACAAACAACTAAATTCCGGGGAAAATACCCCCCATGATGTCACGTCTGTTTCTTTTTCCCCCAAACAGCAGCAGATTGCGCCTTCATCCGCTGTTTCGGGTGTGCGAGAGAGAAAACCCGGGGAAATCTGACACTAATTAATAACCGATGGCCCGAGCAGCCATATAGTCGGGATGATTCGCGAGAAACGAAATCTGGAATCTCGTCTGGGCAAGCTTCCACCCGAAACCATTATTCACAAGGTGAACACACGTACTGCATAAGTGTGGATTATCCCGATAGCCTGTGAAATCAGTGGAATTTCGCACGCCAGGGCTTGGCTCATCTATCTGCTGATCTTCCGAGGTTAACTTTCGGCTGGCAACGGGTCTTTCTAGGCAAAGTCTTATTGCGCAATTACACACTTATCTCAAGTCAACATATTTGCCATGGGGAATGAGTATTGCCCAGACTTTGGTGCAACAATGTTAGCCAAGAGAGGCGAAGTCCAAGCATTTAGAAAAAAGAAAGGGTGATAGTCGGCCAATAGTGGACTCTTGGCTAACACTGTCTGCCCCCCCTTTTTTGGGCCAAGACATGTGAAGTTCTCCAGCATGTTTGGGATTTTCCCTTAGAGGATAATCGCGGGGGGTGGCTTGCATGACTGGCCGCACACTTCACGGCCCAGATATGATGTCCTGGGATCGGCATGACTCGGGCACATCATCCAGATGCCCCTCCAAGGTTCCTCTTGGCTTATTATTTCGGTGAATCTGGGCTATATAAGTCAGGTCAATCTCCTTCCCATTTCCTCATTCACACAAAGCATTTCAGACAAATCGCTGCTCAAAAACTCCAAAGATTCCTTCTCCAACTTAGCTTTATTCTTCCACACCTTCAAATCTACAAGACATTCACTCAAAATGTACTCTATTCCTCCTCCCACTCGCTTCTTGGTCCTCTCTGCTCCTGAGTCTCGCCCTCACAAGGCTCTCAGCCCCACCAACTTCCTGGTGCTGTCTCCCACCGAGTCTGGTCCTGACCCTCGCGCCCTTGAGGAGTCCCAGAGTGAGACCAGCACTGACGAGCAGAGCATTGACCTGGCTCCTCTCAGCCGTGCTCGCACCAACAGCTCTGTTTCGACCAACTCTTCCGGATCTCTCAATGATCTCACTTCTACTCTTCCCAATGGGTTCCTTTTCTTGGGCCATGGCAAGAGCAAGAAGAACTAGAGGTCTAGTCAGCGACTAGCCTACTTTGTTTCGTCCTTTTCTCATCAATATTTTCTACGATATCATCACAGCGACCGATGCATCAACTGTTCTTTGGGAATATCGAGCCGATCAATGGCTCTGATCTGGGATTTTCGGAATGGCCTCACAGAAGGAACATAGCAGGAAAAGCTAAAAGGGTGTTTTTTTGGCGCTACCATCGCCAATTGGTTTTGTTTTTTATCTTATTTTTTCATCATCATCTTATCACTACCCTAGTTGCTTCTGGGAAGCATACATACACAGCCCCTTATGGGCCTAGCAGACAATGAACAAAATGATCTACTATCTGCATAACCTTCTCCACCTTTCTACCTAATCATTCCTGACTTAGTCCACATGACCCATGTGCAGGAATCTCCCGCCGGACGCGAGGGAGATGAATGTTTGCCAAGGGCCGCCAAGGTGATGATTTTCCGCCAAGCCTTGTGTAATCTGATACTCCCGCCTTGGCCAGGAGGACAGGGATTTTGCACCGATGCTCATAGCCCAGGCAACAGTGACTGCTCTTAGGATTGCGAACCTTGCCAAGGCCCCTTGCTAATCCATCCTGCGACTGCTTATCAGGCAGTTGTGTTTGATTTTCTTTTTACACTCACGTTTGTGATTCATTGGACAATAGCCTTCTAATCCCCAATTTAGGGGCTGTGTGGAATGTGTCTTTCGGTGAGACCCCTCATCCCCTATCCCCTGCCCCTCAACCCCCCATTAATTTCCCCGCACGTTTCCCGGTGAAATTCTGGGGCTAAGATGTGCACTATCTACTTTACTTTATCGATGGTCTCGGTGTACTTTAAGCTGTTTCCGTCCAATTATGAGTGGCTTTCTTAACCACATGACGGTTAATATAAGGTGTGACTCGGTAAAAAGGAGAGCTACGAGTAGATCGGTTTTCGGATTCCGAGTCCAGAACACAAGTACCTTGGTCTTAGGGCTTGGACTGGAAGTAAGGTTCTCACGGTTCAATTGACATTTCCACCAGACATGATAGATCTGTACTACCATGTGTTTTTCTAAATTTGATTCCAAGATTGGAAATCTTCATGATGAGCCTCGCTGGTGCGACACGAGCCTATGAATACGAGCCGTGCTGTCCTACGCTTATTTGCCAAATATTCTCAAGTTATATATCATCCCCCTAGACC